GGCGTGGGGGGGGGGGGGGGGGAACCATAAGGGGGGAAAGAGGCAAAAGTGTAAGCAAATGGAGAACATCTGATGTGCATATACATCGATGTAATGTTAATCACTGTAATGACAAATCCAATTGCTCCCTCTTCCACAGAAGTCGACCTGGAGAAGGAAAGGCATGAAGGGAACAGATGAAACCCTGATGCAAAATCGTGATCTCCTTAAGCATCTAAGGTGTAAGTAGGTCAAAGAAAGAAACAACAAGCAGTTTTGTCCTCTTCATTCACATCTTCCTTTAATTTTACTTGAGCAGAATAATCAACAGCCCGATGCTTCGATTGTGTGCTGATTCTTCTGGTCGCCGTTGGAGACGAAAGAGGAGTCGTAGACGAAAAGCTGCTGCATTTCATTTTCTGGTTTCTTTCATTGCAAGTCATGCTTGGTTTTGTCATCAATGGGACGGGACTATCATCATGGCTGGCTAGTGGCTCCAACTTCAATGTCGGAAAAGCCTTTCTCGTTGTAGTTCTCTGTACAGTAGCTTTTTTCCAATAGGTGCATGATCCTTAATGAATAAACATTTTGTGAATATATAACATAAAAAACTCATTGTTTATGTTATATATTTAAGTAATGAAATACCACATTTTGTCAGAAAAAAAAAAAACATTTCGCCAGCTCTACAACCCAAAAGTTCTTGCCTTCTCTGTTCTCTGTGTGAGGGAAGAACAGAACCTCATTCTGCGAGGATCTGACATGTAACGGGCCTACTAATGGGCTCGGCCCATAAGTCAAAACGGGCCTATTATTCATGAGGACCGTTTTTTTAGGGTTCGTAACCCAAGACCGGGACTGGACCTGACCCGGTTCATTTGATGAGACGAGAACTTCGGAACTGAATTTCACATTTGAGGAGCATCTGTTGCAATTCACGACACGAGTCCTGAGTTACGTGGATCTCTCTCTCCCTCTCCCCCCGGCGACGATGTACAGAACGGCGGTGAGGCGTCTGCTCGCCGGAGCTGCCTCCAATTGGCGTCTACGATCATCCGATTACCGACCCACCATCGTCACTTCCTCTTCGGCTCCTAGATTTTGCACTTCGGTGAACACGCAATCGTTGACGGGTCAGTCTGCGAACCCTAATCAAGCGCCTACGACGTCGTCTCCTTCTTCTTCCACGACTTCGTCGACGGAGGCAGGGGAGGGCCCTCCCCGACACGAGGAGAGGAGGAAGCCGAGAGTCGAGTTCCAGGAGGAGCAGGGTCGCGTTCTCTCGGCGTCGCTCCGACATGTTCCGAGGTTGGGTTGGACGGAGGAGGCGATGATGGCTGGTGCTAGGGATGTCGGCGTGTCTCCTTCGATCGTAGGGTCTTTTCCAAGGAAAGAAGCAGCACTCGTTGAGTTCTTCATGGATGAGTGCCTGCGTTTGCTCATCGATAGAATCGATTCTGGATTGGATTTGCAGAGCATGATCCCAAGTGAGAGAATCTCTAAACTGATCAGAACCCGCCTTGAAATGCAGATTCCCTACATCTCGAAATGGCCACAAGCTCTAAGCATCCAAGCCCATCCTCTGAACGTCCCGACAAGTTTCAAGCAACGGGCCATGCTGATCGATGAGATCTGGCATGCTGTCGGTGACGAGGCCTCGGATATAGACTGGTACGTTAAGCGCACTGTTCTTGGAGGAATATACTCGACCACCGAGATTTACATGCTGACTGATGACTCCCCAGGTTTGCTTATTGATTGCCCTTTTCCTACCACAAAACCTTAGAGTCTGCTACTTCCTTGCCTGCGAATATCCCGTGGGATCTTTACAGTATCGTTTTGCTTCTGTATACTTAGTTAGAATATGTTGTATCCTCTCCAGAATTCTGTTTCCTAGGTTGTGATCTTATTGGTTTGAAGAGATTTCACAACTTCAATGGTTTTGAGTTGATTTCATCTTGGAACAGATCATCGAGATACATGGGCGTTCTTGGAGGAGAGAGTGAAAGATGCTTTTGATCTGAAGAAGACCATACAAGAGGTAACCTTTCTTGTACTTGTTTTGCTGGACCACAACTTCGGAGCCATGTTTTCCTGTCGGAAAGCTCCTCACTGGGAACCTGCGTTTATGGGCAGGCGAAGTATTTTGCACAGGACATCGGTGCCGGAGTCGGGAAATCTGTTCAAGGGCTGATGAACGGAGTTTTCGAGACGATGTCCAAACGGGACAAGCCTCCGTTTTGAACAGCGCAGATTATCCGACACCACTGGTTCTCTTCTCTCTCGTTTTCAAGAGTCATCCGACATAGGTTTTGCGCAAGGTAAGGCAAGGAAGCCATGTCTTGAATAATATTAGTCTCTGTATCCTGTTTTACATGTTTCAGCGCCTACCAGTGAACTTATTATTCTATTTGATCTCGTCTGAATCATAATACCACAAGTGTTGTTTTAGTTTTGTCTACAAGTTTCATAACTGTTATCATGTCCGAACTTGGTTTGTATCATCTTCACAAACTGCTAAAAAAATATAGCTGGGTTTATTTTATTATTCACCCTGTGCACTTACATTGCTTGAATGTGATGTTGTGAAGTTCATATGCAAGCCCTTCTAGAAGTTCATGTACTGGCAAACTGGGTTTGAATAAAATTCGGAATGTGTTTCCTTTGTTCTTGTTGAGGCATTACGAAGAGATGTAAGATTGGTCGGTCCAAACATTGATATAGAACGAGTGTATTGAAGCTGTAAAGACTAGAAACTGTATTAAATCAAACCCTGTAAATAAAGATTATTAAATCTTTCGAACCTATCTAATTAAAGAGATGAAACAGCGTATAGTCACAAATTATTACCCTTAGCTCTCAAAACTCAAATAGTACAGACAAAAGTTCAACACTTTACTATCCATTGTCTATAAATAGAAACTTGGAAAGAAAGCATTTCTTTTGGAATATTCAGAAGAAAATGAGGCGCAGATGAAGCTCGAGAACATTAGGGTTCGTCTTGTGGATTCTCCAGACGAAAGAGATTGGAGCTGGATGCGTAATCTTCGGAGAAAGGAAGTAAAACACGATCACTATCCCCATTTGAAACAGCAGTGGCTGAAGAAGAAAAAGACGGAGATGGCACAGGAATCTCGAACCAACTGACAACACAGTCGCCGCTTGCAATCGAAACTTCCATCCCCTCCGGCAACCTCCGGCGACTCCCCGCGTCCTTCGAACCCTAAACCCTTTTCCCTCGGAGATTCAAAACCATAGACGCTTCTCCGGCTACTAGGGGTATAAAATGGGTTCGGGCGCGCGGACTGGCTCGCGAGCCACCCCATATTCCTCCGAAGTGGGCTGATAATAATTGAGCCCAGAAAAAAACGGGCCAAACGAGCCGACCCATCACGGGCAGAGCTCGTGGCGAACCAGCCCGGCCTCGCGGGCCAATTTTTTTTTTTCTTTTTAACTATTTTTATATATTTTAAAATATTTTTATATACAAATTATATTTTTATTACATATTTAATTTATTTTGTTCAAAATTTTAAATATTTTTATTATATTTTAAATATTTTAAATATTTTTTAAATATTAAAATTATTTTAAAATACTTTTTAGTATTTAAATTTTATTTTTAAAATTATATATTTGGCCCGCGGGCCGACTCGTTTGGCTCGCGGGCTAAAGCGATCTGGGTTGGGTTGGTCTATTTTTGGCTCGTTAAAAAACGGGTTGGATTGGGCTGGACTAAAATTTTCTCGGATCGGAACAAGTCGGGCTGGGCTGGGCCGGGCCGGCCCGTTTTACACCCCTTCCGGCTACCCTCATTAGTCATTATGATTCTGACCCATTAATGAGCAAATTTGGGCTAAAAAAACTATTTCATTTCGGCCCATTAAGGGCCCATTAATTTCAGCCCTACTAAGGGCCTAAAACAGGAATAAAAGAGGGTGAAGCCTAACATTCAACGGTGCATTCAACTCCGTTCAAAGATTTCTTGATTTCCTCTTGTGCGTCTGGATGAACGTTTCTGGATGCGTTCTCTTTATGGGATTCTTCTTCGTCTTCTTCTCGCTTGGTTGAGTTGAGCGTTAGGATCGCCGGAGGTGAGAGTGATTCTTTACTCAAATTGGAGTTTTAGGTGAATTCTGTTCTACCGTCGAGGGAATTTTGATGCTTCGGTTAGGGTTTTAGGCCATATGGAGGCGAGCCGAGATCAATCAGTTGCATCCCATGATTTTTTGGGGAGAATGAAACATGCTGCTCCCATCGATCACGTTCGATCCGTCAAGAGGTATGATTCAGGATTCTGTGTCTTCCTAGATATTATCATTCCAATCAATTACCCGGACCGGATTCGATATTGGGATTTAAAATTTCTCTGAAGTGAAAGGTTCGTTTGATATTATTTGATTCTGTACGGTCTTCTAAACCCTACTCCTTCCGGCAAATCGTCGGAGGTTTTCGGCTGTTTATGTTCGGCCGATTACTCATCACCTGATGAGTTCAATCAATATGATGAATTCCAGCCTTCTGGTGTCGTTTTCTTTCCAGACGATGGATTCCGAGAGTAGCAGCAAAGCAAGAAGGTGCAATACTTCGTCGTCGCCATGGCGATGGCTTTTGTGGATCATCCTTTATGGGCCAATGCGAGTGACCAGGATAGGTAATTCCTAGTCTTTTGAATGGCTAACATAAATGTCTTGTTTTTCTCCAATGTATGCCATCTCGATCGAGTCATCTATTTCACTGCTGAATTTAGGGTTTGGAGAAATATGTGATGACAAAACTGGTCACCAAAACTTTCAGATCTTCTATCAAGGTCACCTAGATGCTTCAGTTTAACACTAGACCTAATTGTCACTGCTTTCCTGTTCACTTTCTCTCTTCCTGTAGCTTGCACAGAGAATTGATTGACATCAATTCTTCCATAGCCCCCTCTTCCAGTTTTCTGGCATTCACTCCGTGTGTTTTGTGCACTCCATCCAGCATAAGCAATATTTATTTCAAGAACTTTTTCCTGGGTATATGTAATAATATCATTTGCTTTCACGCTTTAGTTAATCTTGGCTTCACCAGGCTTTCCTTTCGCTACAGAATTAAGGACACTTCTTATGTGAAACTAATTCTTTTGGTCTGAAATTGTAGGCAAATCCCCCAATCACTTTCCATTGTGGGAAAAGATTTTGACAAAAGCGTGCAAGCTGCAAGTTTATGCAGATAAGCTAGTCCAACTAAACAGTTCAATGAGCTTAGAAGCACATTGGTGAGAATACATGCGCAGGCACCCTTGATGAAAGGTGATTTGCATATCATAGTTTGTTTTGTCTCACAAAAGCTTAATTACTTCCTTTTTTTCATTTTGAAAAAAAAAATTTATAGCTGTTTGGGTTGGTTTCTCTGGTAGTGTCTTCATGCATTACATGAACATTTTGTTTGACATTTGACTGACTAGCAGAGGTGAACTGATAAGATGGTTCTTTTTAAGCTGTGGGGCACTCCGCGGGGAGACTCGGGCACGAATTCAGTCATTGGCTAAGGAAAGAGGTAAGGTAAATGCCCTTAGTACGGCAAACATTTGTACCTTCTTAATATCGCATGATTAGAAAATACATTGAAACTTAGGACGGGGCATGCAACTCCCATTCATGAAGCCTCTAGGTCATGTAGGCTTAGATGCTTGAAGTTTTAGACCCAACCAAAAACTCTTAACTATACATATAGCTAGATCAGGAATACATAGTTAGCCTACACTAAGTGTTACAGACATATTAGATCCATTGCCCATCCCAGCCGACTCACCTCTACAAACAAAGCCGGCTTGAGGCACTTCACTAGATCCATGCTCAGCATCAGATCGTTTTGGTTTCTTCCTGTACAGTTTGATGCATCTGAAACAATGGAACTTAGATGGCAATGCATCAGAGTTCTCGATCCCAGCACATCTGGTGTGATGCCACACACCACACGCGTCACATGACAACATTCTCTCCCCATCGTCATCCTTTGTACCGCAAATGCAATCAACCTTCCAGTTCTCCACTCCTCTCTCCATGCGGTACCGAAGAAGCCCATGTTTTGATGAGCATCTCCCTTTGATCCTGACCATCCCACTTGTCCCAACTAGAAATTTCAGGGTAATTGAATCTTCCAAGGAGCCATATCCTAGGAGTTCCTCGACTTCAAACCTCTTGAACATTGCATAAACTTCCTGAAAAGCCTTGGCAGCTTCGATTTTCAGGTCAGATACAGTAGCATTCATGGGAAGAACCAGAAGCTCTGGGGGCAGAGCAGGACATTCTTTGGATTGATCTGAGAGCTCAACATGACACCAGAGGTTGATGGCAAAGGGATTAGCACCGCTGGGTAGGTAATCTTTCATGAAATGCTTGCAATCTAGTATTTTTGTTGCTGCGTCCATCATTTTGTCTCTTGTTACTTGAGACCTAAACTTGGCCATGGTTTGTGGGTGCAATAGAAAATCATATAAATATCTTATGTCGCGTTTCACATGCTCCTCTGATGGATACTTTTCCTCTGGGTCATCAGACAGGCGGATAGAGGATACCGGCACAAGCCTGTAGTCATATTACACACGGAAGATCATTGGTTAAGATTTACAAAATAGGCAATCAACTTGCTGTTAAAGAATATAGGGCCCTTTTGGACAAGATACCTGAACTCGAAATCATTAGTAGCAGCATTGAAACTGGAGCAGACTATATGAGATCCATCATCCGTGGACACACCTCCCAAATGCTTGAGACAGTAATCGAGAAGCTCCAAAGACGCCATTCTGCAAGTGGATCCTTTGAGAGCCCGCCTGGTCGCCCAGCTTCCTCCATGACCTCCTGCAGCTTTCAACACCTTGATCATGGCTTTATGCACATCTTCCACATCACTCCTTGTCCAAGAACACAACACGTCTGAAGGCGCAACGGCAAGTTCCCCTGACTTTCTGGAACGGGTCTCATGAATCAGTCGGAACAGGAAGGAGAAGAGGTCTCGAAGGGTTAGAAACTCCGAACACGAAAGTGACTGGTAGAAAGCGATGGTGGAATGGAGCCGAGTTCTGGGCTTCCTCCCGTGGAACAAGAACCGAGACACGTGCATACCTGATAGAGTATCCACCGCCTTCTTATACGCATCTCGGGTCAGGGCATAACTCCCGGATTTGAACTCGTATCCCCACTCTGCATACCACGAGGACCCCCTGGTGACAGCGTGAAGGAGTCGGTAATCCATTCCATACTTCCTCGACACGTCCATCACGCTTGCCTTCCTAACCGCGAGGGCAGAACAAAGCCTGTCCCAGAAGTCCATGATGGCATGACCAGGCAAGAAACCAGACCCACCTTCTCGCCCGTTGAGTGACAAGAGATGAGCGTAACCGTTCGAGTGGATAACGCCATGGAGGAGGTGGGTTGGGTCGTCTAGCTGAGAGTAGACCCAGTTCTCGACGTCCAACGCGGAGCTGCACCACTTGCAGCTGCTTCCGCTGTCCGAGAGTTGCAGAGTGTTGCCGCAACTCGAACACTTCTGGCTCTTGGAGCTTTCTCCTGACCTTATGATGAAATGGTACCTCTTTCTACACACTGGATGACCACTCCAGCCTACAAAAAACACATACACACGTAAGGTAAAATCTTCAGACGCTAATCTGCATGAGTTTTTTGGGTTCAAGCTAAAAGCTTTTTCAGATTTTTGTGTAGGGGAAAAAAATAGGAACGGTGTTTTTTTTTTTCTTTATTGTCGTGTTAGTGTGTGAGTTAAAGAGTGAGCTGACTCACCGACGACTCGGCAGTGGTCACAGTAAACGGATCTGGAGGATCTGGTGACGTCCTCCTCCACAACGTCCAGAGAGACGAGCCTTGAGGAGAGATCTGAACCGTCGTCCACGGAATCTCCGGCCCTGAGCAGGATCTGCCACGTCATCAGGCTCGAGAAGAGCGACCCGCGCGTGGCTCGAGAGGAAAGATCTCACTCCATCCCGGAACGGCGGCCCTCCTCCGGCCTCATCCGACGCCGGGAAAGTGAAGAAATCGTGTAGATCGGCGGAGATTCGGTTGCTTCGCCTCGCCCTCTTCGTCGCGCGACCGCCGTCGATCACCGCCACAACCATAACAGCTTTTTCCAAACTTTTATTAGAACCAGACGAGAAGAATCCAGAAAGATAGAGAGAGAGAGGAAGAGGAAGAAGAAGAAAGGGGTTAAGATGCAGTTTTGGCGGAGAGATTTTTCCCTCTCAAAAGTGGTACTAGGGTTTTTTTTTTTTCGTTTTGGGAAATTGACCAAAAGCTTGACCGCTTCTGGAGGAGCGATGCTTTATTTTTCTTTTACTGGCGCTGGAGTTTTGTGGGTCCCACTCTTCCCGTATTCTGAGGCGGGTAGGGTTCTTTTTCTCCACCATTTTTTTTTTCATATTCATTAATATTCCTTGATTCCTCATTATTATTTTTCACAGTTCCAACCTCCCAAAACCTATGTATATTTTAGATCGATTAGGACATAATAAATCGGTTATTGGTTGGTTGGTTGGTTTGTTTAATAAGAGATTAATGATTTGGAATGACATGTTTTGTAAGATTGTAACAAATACACCAGACCCCTAGGAACATGTAAACATGGTGGTCAACAAAATATCACACCACATCAGGCAAGCTATATATGCTTCTGTTACCGACCATTACAAAAAAAGGACCAAAAGGCCAAAACCAAAACTCAGAGTGTCTTGTGGTAACATTTTTCTGATATTCCCCTTATTTCATCCAGAAACAAAAAAAGGAGGACAAAGGAAGAGTGAGGTGTCATCATGATCAGAAGAAGAAGCGGAAGTTAGAGAGAGGAGCTTCTCCTTCAGCACAGGCGCGATGAACCAGAGGGAGTCTGTCGACGGACTTGCAGATTCCACTGCACGACCAGTCGAAGGAGGCTGCACACAAGTTCCCGGCCTGAGCCTTCCACTGGCAATCAGGCGGAGTCCCACAGCACATCGACCTCTCGTCCACATGCTCCACCTCCAACCCTATCAACCACGCCCCCAACGACACGTCCTCGTTCGCATACCTATGCAGTATCCCTCTGCATTGTTTCAGCATCAGGGGGGCCCGCCATGAAACAATATACACTGAAAGGTTGTATCGACCTCGGGTCTCACACATGGTATCGTTTCGATATCTTCCCTCTCATCATTGGCATTTTTGTCCATTTCGATCTCTTGTTCTTGTATGCTAATGAGTCGTTAATCGCGTTTTGAAACTTGGGTTTCACACGGTTTGTCGCTTTCGATTCTCATGCAATATATATACTCAATATTTATGCTAATGAATCATGAATCGTGCTGTGAAACTTGGGTTTCACTCGTTTTTGTACGTTGTTTTTTTTTTTTTTTGTCTCTGGCAGTGTCACTTTCACTTCCCATGCAATATTCACAAATACTATATGATACTAATATACTATCCATATATATAACAAAACTATACTTACTGGTTGGTGGAAATATATGCAGCGAGGTCCTTGGAGATTGCATAAATCTGACCAGTGGCGTGCCTGAAGTACTTATTCCCTTCTTCTCCAAACTTCCAATACTCTGGCTCGTGATACTTCACTCCCCTTCACCCCACACTCGACGTTATTTAAAGGTGTCATGAAGCTAGCTTTCATGGCGGAAAAAAGAAGAAACGACACAAACCCTACTTACTTCTGGGAGAGGACAGGGCCAGATTTCATGCATCCGATGTACATCCTAGGCTTCGACTGGTATCTGGCGAGTGTCGTGGCCAGCATGCCGAGATTGACGTGGACATCGTCGTCCACCTTGACGTAGAACTCGGCATCCCATATGGCAGAGACGACAGAGAAGTAGAGACGTGTCTTAGAGGAGAGCTGATGGTAGCCCTCCACGTGTTTCAGCCTCAGGAAGTCCCCGTGCTCTGCGTTTTCCTCGTCTATCGCCTTATCCAACACTCCTCCCGGCGTTGCGCTGTGTCCTATCACGAACCTGTTTGATTTTGAACCAGGTTTTTTACTTTTCCTTTTGCATGCTATATGACTGGTAAAAAAGATTCGAAATTCGGGTATTCGAAACAGTATATTATATGAGATCGGCTTAAAACGTGATGATAACCCGAAAATTGACTGCGGGTTAGAGTTGAACACAAAAAAAACCCCTCGAAATTCGGGTTAAAGCCTGGTGAAAATCAAGAAATCAGATTTGGGTTCGGAGATTTGCGTTTGTGATGGAGTATTAGCCGTAGGTACCCAAATGATTGTAATGTCTATTTCCCCTAAATTTTAGAGATATTACAAGTGAATTTACTGAAATCTTTTCAAATTTCGAATTAGGATTCGTGTGTTTCGAAAATTTTGAATACCCAGCTCGAGTTAATCCGTTATACATGATATATATATATATATTTTGTTTACATGTAAAGATTAGGTAATGGCATTGTTCAAACACGTCTACATTGTGGCAGACCACAAAGGTATATTCAAAAGCCCTCTTATATATATATATATATATATATCATGTATGTATTAAAAATTTTGAAATTAGATTTAAAATGTGAATATACGGATATCTTAAAATTATCTCGAGTATCTAAAATTCGGGTATACGATCAAATTGGATCGAAGTTGGATAATATCCCATGAAGCCCATGATATTGAAATTCCAAAGTAAGTAACCCAAAAATCTCGGATATGTCAAATAAAGGTTGTGCCTTTTTGCCCAAGTTGAAATCTTTGAAGGGGAAAAAAGAAAAGAAAGATTACCTAATGACAATGCCTTTCTCGGTCTCGAGTTTCTTGAGCTTATCGCCGGTGGGCATCCAAGTCTGGCGGACAGAGTCGCGTCTCTTCCTGCTGCTGAAGGCCGTGTTGATGCCAATGACCACGAATGCCCTCTTAAGGCTGTGGTTTCTGCCCGCCCTCTCTTCTCCCCACAGCTCGCTGCTTCTCTCGATTGTTCTCGCTTCCGCTAACTCCATCTCCAGCTTCGATATCGTCCTCTCCAGTGATCTATAGCTTGCAACAGTTTAAACACTTAATGGGTACTCCTCTTTACCATCATGAATATACATATATATGAGTGTGTGTAAAGGGTTCTATATACTTCACTGCCTGGTGGGTTTCTGTTACTTCCCCCATTATGTCTCTGGATCTCCCTTCTATCAGTTTCTGATCACAAAAGTAACATACAGGATCAGTATATGCATGTATGTATCTGCTTGTATGTATATATGTTGTTTAGATATATGCCGTGCTGCTTACCCGTTTGTGTTCATCGCAGTCTCGTGGCTTCTCAAGACTTTTGGACACAATCTTTGCGATGTTGGGATGATCTTCTTCAGGCTGGTAAGGCCAACTCAATGTCCTGCTCATGAAGAGAGTGCCTGCAAGAAAGCTGGCGATGCATAGCAAAAACACTGCTTTGCCTGAAGCAGCTTTCCCCCTCATCTCTGCTTGGCCTCTTTTACTCTTTTATCTGCAGACCATCGGATAATTAAAAACAAAATTCCAACTTTGATATGATCTGAAATGTTACGTGCAGGGAACTTGACAGAGGCGACAGCGTTATGGACCAAAGCTATTTAGTTATATATCTATCGAAGAGTTGAGGTAAGATTCACTTCAAAAACGTTTCTTTCGATTAGATTTCTTGACCCTTTTGCATCCATATCGACCAAATGACTTTTCGGTATAGGGACAAACCCGAAATCATAAGATTAAGGCTTGAGAATCGTATAGAAAGTTTTAGGGCATACCTCTTACAAGCACATGTGAGGCACAGGGGGAGCTGCCTTGCTGCAAAACAGGTTAGGAAGAGAGAGCACTATATGCTTAGGACAATGTTGTAGACATTCTTGTGTAAGTATATATATATAAACGAATAAATAGGAGAGTAGTTGCAGAATGGCAACGGCATTGATGCTCGCTTGCTTGTTTCTCTCTATCTATCAATGTTAGAAGTTAGAAGTTAAGTCATGCAATGTGCATGCTTCAACCAACTGTCAGCTTATAAACAAGAAAAACCTCTCCAAACTCTTTTCAGTTTTGTTTTCCTGTTTGATTCTGCTACATTTACGCGCCTACCTACGTACGCGTACTGTGAATGTGTGTGTTGTCTGTGAATCTGATAGATGTATGGGTTAGGTAGATTCATTGAATCTGGACTATAGTTAGTATGGGTTGTTTGGGTTGTTACTATTAGTTAGTTAGTAGTCTTGGCTATGAGTAGTTATAAATACAGATTAGATTGGGGGAAAAGGATTTACGCAGAAATTGGAGAAAGGGTTAGGGTTTGTTTGGGGAATGAGAGTTGGGATCCTCTCATAAAACAAGATCATCCAAAGTTGTATTCAGGTTTTCGGTGAGGAATAAAGGCTCGATTGGTGCTGGAAAGTTGAGTTTCAGATTCTGAACCTTAACAGATTGGTATCAGAGCCCGTCTTCAATCGGAAATGGCAGAAACCCATGAGCAACGAATGGCGCAGTGGGACAGAGTAGAGGAAATGTTGTCGAAGCTGTGTCGGTGGATGGAGGCCGATTGCGATCGTTGGAATTCGACAACCTGGTCGAATCCGGCACCAGCAACGGTAGCCGACAAGAAGCAGACAAATCGTGATCCAGATCCGCAGATCGATTGCGATCAAGCACCGAAGAACCTTCCGGAGGTTCGAGAGGTGAATCCGCAGCCGAAAGAGGAAGGCGATGCGCAGCAACAGGAGCGATTCATCGGAAAAGGCAGTTCCCACCTCAAGGTGATGCCGATCGCGTTCGTCGACCGCGTACAGGCTAATCACGACCAGAACATGCCGATCGAGGACTTGCCGACCGATCGAAACAAAGTCCCAAAGGATCCAACAGCTGCCAGATTCATGTGATGGGAGAATACATAACAAAGCTCTTTCAGACCGATTCATCGGGAAGACTGATTCGCACATGAAGAAGACGACAATTCCGGTGTTCGATGACAGCTTCATTTTGGAATGGGATGTCAAAACTGAAAGGTACTTTGGATTTGGTGGTTGTAGTGACAAGGAGATGTTTTACCTAGAATCTACAGATTTGGGTGGGGAAGCTCTGATGTTGTTCGATGGCCAGAAAAAAATTGGGATGTATCGAGATTGGGAAATTTTTAGACTCTTACTATATGATCGTTGTGGTACTCGTATAGAATGGAGGAGGAAGACACGCATATCCGTTGGGCAAGCAAGACATATCAGAAATTACGGAAGCAGGCCATTGGAAACGAGTTCCAGCCAGCTCCGAATCAAAAACAACTTTTGGCAGACTTGGAATGGTTAGTGGAGCTTAAGCAGATTTTGGACAGCCATTATACTACGCTCGGAAAGTTAGCAGTCGATGAAGATTTGAACGAACGAATTCCAGATCATCAGCTTGAGGACAAGCTGAAACTGAGGCGGGCGGTATTGATAGATGTATGGGTTAGGTAGATTCATTGAATCTGGACTATAGTTAGTATGGGTTGTTTGGGTTGTTACTATTAGTTAGTTAGTAGTCTTGGCTATGAGTAGTTATAAATACAGATTAGATTGGGGGAAAAGGATTTACGCAGAAATTGGAGAAAGGGTTAGGGTTTGTTTGGGGAATGAGAGTTGGGATCCTCTCATAAAACAAGATCATCCAAAGTTGTATTCAGGTTTTCGGTGAGGAATAAAGGCTCGATTGGTGCTGGAAAGTTGAGTTTCAGATTCTGAACCTTAACAGAATCTCTCTGTCTGATGTTCAAAATCATGTTTCTGCCTCGAATTTGTATTAAGAGACTTTGTGTGTGCAGTGTCCATATATGGAGTCTCAGCATATGCTATGTATGTGTTCTTCATCTCTTTCTTTTATAGTTTCAGAGCATGCCTTTCAGTAAACTCAGATTTTGGCTTTTGTTTTCTGATTCTTTTGCTCATCTTAGTTCTTACAGCTAGTAGTCTTTCACACTCTTATAATTAGTAATTCAAGATCATGTAAAAGATATTTCAGTAAACAGCAATAATTTTTCCATGTGGGTTTTGTTTTGTTTCTTTTTTCTAAAACTTTTAGAAATTGGGTGTTTCATGATCAGATTTTCATAAGATTTTGTCCATTTCTTCTAACACCACTCAATAAGAATCTGAAGCAACAAGTGAGATTGAGGGAGATTTTGGTCACAGTCTTTGGTGGTGAAGACATGATTTTGGGCATTGATGTTGGAAGAGGTTGTGGACCCTGTCTGTTTTCCCAAGTTCACAACCACTTGGGGACAATCACAGTACTAAAACACATTATCCAATTGATCATTGGTATCTTTATCAAATCTGTAAGCACTTCCAGAAGATTTTCACTCATCCAAAGGATGAGGCATATTCCAGCCATCACTCACTTCAAATGGTGGGTATGTGCCACTGCCCCTGCCTGCTTATCACAAAGTCCCGCGTTTGCGTTTGCGTTTGCCCCTGTAGGGATTGCGTTTACACCCGCTCTCCCCAATCGCTAAACGCAGCCGGCGATAAATGCTCAGCAGGTATAGCTTGTGAACTTTATCAGTCACATCTAAGAAACCAACCAGTTTTATGCAATGATCAAAGACATTTCTTGCTGGTTCTTTCGAAAAAATGAAAAGAAAAGAAAGAACACTGCACCGCAACTAATAAACTTTTATGATTAAAGCATTGAAACCTTGCAGCTAAATTTAGAACAATCTCTAATGAAACAGATCAAACTACATAAAAAGATCAGTAGAACTAAACTTCTCTCCTCCTCCTAAGAACACAGTGATCTCATACCCTCATAAAGTTCCCGACTTTTTCGTTGTTTCGGCCCTCTAAGTCCTCGGATGCGTGAATCTCTGCGTTACAAATTGCGGGCGAAGCAGATTTATCGCAAGAATACCACCTTGACCAGAAAAGATAATGGAAGAAATTGAAAAAGCTCAACGCAGCTAAAAGCCAGTAGAAAAGATCCAATCTGTCTTTGTTAAGGTCGTTATCGCTGAGCCATCCTCCTCCAGAGCCTTTAGAAGTAACGTGGTTCACCAACGAGACGAGGATGGAGCTCAGATAGAACCCGAATGAGTACGAACAATACGTCATGGCCGTGAGAAAAGACTGCATTCTCTGAGAAGACTGTTTGTAGAAGAACTCCACCAATCCAACAGCGGTGAACATCTCTGACAATCCGAATATCAGAAACTGTGGAGCGATCCAGAAGATCGAGAGTGTCTCGCCATGATGAAAAGACGATTTCCGTCTCTTTGCTTCGATTAATGCAGCAGCCACCATAGAGAAAGTTGCCAGGAACAGCCCTGCGCCTATTCTCTGGAGAGGAGAGATACCCGAGTCTTTTCCCGTGAGTTTCCGGGCTATGGGGACGAAGAATGTCTCGTAGAGAGGGACGACGAATATGAGGATGATGTAAGGGATTGACTGAAGCGAAGCCGGAGGGATTTCAAAGCGTTTAGTGATATGTGTGTTCATGATGCTTCCTTGTTGGACCGAGAAGGTTTGGAGCTGAGCCAAGATTGTGTTGAAGACGATGGTACATGCGAAAATCGGCACAACTGACAAGAGAATCTTGACTTGCTCCACTTGTTCGACGGTGCAGAGTCTCCACTGGCTTTCGCTCCCTTTGTCTTGCATTTTGATGCAGGCTTTGTCAAGAAACCTGCAAGAACATTGCAGAAATGAACGTTAAAGCCACTCGGTGGGTGTAACTTCTTGTCTGGAACTAATCTTAAAAACTTCAAAACGAACTGGAAACTGTAAGAAACTTTAAGTATTGTCTCAAACCTGAACTTGTCAGTGTGAAGAAGAGGTCTGACACGATCGCTTGAAGACTGGTGAAGCGTTTCCATGTTCGAAGGGAAACTCTGCTTCCTTTTCGTGACTGCAGCTACGAAAACCTGACAGATGATTACAGAAAACGAATGAGACATTGGGAAAGAAAACATATAACAACAATGGAGGAAAAAAGACAAGAAGAATAATCTGAATCCGACGAGCAGAGTACCTGAGAGATCGGAGTGAAGATACTACCGTTTGGAGGTTTGTTCCTATAGAAAGGAGTACCAGAGACCAGACAGATCATACCAGCAGCCATTACAGCAGCAGAGACACCGAAACCGACGTCCATGCCCGAATGGGTTTGAACCCAAACGAGGAGGGTAAGAGCGAGGAGCTCGCCCATGCAAAAAGCAAAGTAAGCGCCATTGAAGAAGCTTGAGAGCTTCCTCGAGTCTTCTTTCAAGAACTGGTTGGCTCCATGAGATATGATATTCGGTTTCAGACATCCGCTTCCTAAGGCAATCAAGTACAGTGCAGTGTAAAGAATCACGGCCTCGTAGCCCTTTGCTTCTGGGCAGTGTCTCGTGCTCTTCATGTCGCAGTCACGTGGCCTAAGCTGAGGAAGATGAGCTTGGACCGACAACAATATGAAACCCTGTTTTTTTTTTTTTTTTTTTTTTTTTTTTTTGGACGTGAGACCAAGAAGAAACTTGAGAAACACGGTAAAGAAGGTTTTTTTTCCGTATATTTTGTGAATGAAGAAAGATCAAGAAAGGTTGAGAGAGAGAGAGAGAGAGAGAGAGAGAACGTACGGATATTTCGACAGAGCCGAAGACAAGAACTGTACGGAAGCTACCGAGGTAAGAATCAGAGAGAAAGCCGCCAAGGAGGGAGAGAAGGAAGACAGTTCCTATGAAGTTCGTGACGATATTTGCAGATTTCTTTTGCATTGGACGTGAGACCAAGAAGAAACTTGAGAAACACGGTAAAGAAGGTTTTTTTTCCGTATATTTTGTGAATGAAGAAAGATCAAGAAAGGTTGAGAGAGAGAGAGAGAGAGAGAGAGAACGTACGGATATTTCGACAGAGCCGAAGACAAGAACTGTACGGAAGCTACCGAGGTAAGAATCAGAGAGAAAGCCGCCAAGGAGGGAGAGAAGGAAGACAGTTCCTATGAAGTTCGTGACGATATTTGCAGATTTCGACAGTGGAAAATGCATCTCATTGAACACATAAGTGATCAGGTTGTTTCCAACCGCAGCAATCGCCATCATTTCAAAGGCTTGGAGCCCTGATCAATACAGAACAAGAAATCAAATATCGAATAAAAATAAGCGTAAACTTCGTCTGAAACCACGAATATTGTCTGGATCCGACATCTATCATTCCCCGCTGAATAAGAAGCCGTGTAAGAAAAAAAAACCCCGATATTGTGCAATCACATAATGGTGTTTTCTCCAATTTTTCATGGTTAGATCAAGGGCTAAAACCCATCTCCAAAGAGAGTAGAAGCTGTCAAACACATTGAAAATGAACTGAAACCCGCTATTGTAACTATGAATGAACAGAGAGAGAGAGAGAGAGAGACCGAGAACGAAGAGAGCGGCTCGAGCTCCGCCATGTTTACGAGGTATGCAGGGTCTGCCTCTGAAATCAACGCAGAGATCATCGGATTCCGACGTGTAAAGTCCTTGTTTAGCATCGCTGGATAAACCGTGAATGTCCATCGTTTGCTACCTTTTTTGGTGGGTTTTGTTTTTCCTCTCTGTGTGGTTTAAAGAAGCAAAGAGCAGCAAAAGTTTTGGCTTTGAGTATGTTTTGATGGAACTGGGACAAAGCTTAAGGTTGTGGGGAAAGATGGTATTTATAATGTCTTGCTATTTTTCTCCTCATCTAGTTGACTAAGCTATCCGTTGTTTCAGTGGGAAGGCCCCACTCTCCAATATGTAAAACCCTATCATCATCATCATCATCATCATCATCATCATCATCATCATCATACCAACAAAAAAAAAGTTCCTTTCAAAAAAAAAAATCTACCCTTTCCCTTTCTTGTACCTGTAGATATGGAGTTGGAGCACAAGAATATTTCTTGATAGTTGTATTTCGAATTGGATGGTCCATGGACCACAGTTGGACCAAATGGAAAATGTATATCCACAGTGGACCGACCACACACAATGCAGGTGGACATGGAAGATGTTTGATGATCATTGGTCTGAAAGTCAAAGTCGGATGTGTTTGGTAACGGGCAATAGTTAGCTCCGCACAGGATCTGTGTCACACATGATTCCAAACAAGGGACTTAAATCGAATGTGGATGGGTTTGTGTATAGGATAATGACAAGAGGTCAGGCAACTAAGCAGAGAGGTCTAATCATCATAAAACCTCCTCCCCCACCCTCTCCAAAGAGCTTTCCACCCAATTTAATCACTTTTTTTTTCATATATAACTCGATAACCATTGATTATGATATTTTTTATAGTTAATTCAATATCATTATGTACTTAAATTATTGGACTTTTTGTTAATTAATCGCTTGCTTAAGTAAAGCAGGAGTGACATATATTCTTAGACTGTAGAATTGGAGCATTATATAAAAGAACTGTGCCCACTAAACCATTCAATGAATTACACTAATAAATGCAGAAAAAATAGATAGGTACCTGCACATAAACTTATGCAACAAAACACACACATAGTCAACAAGAATGAATTCCAAGAAAACAATATATAATATATATATATATACCCAAAGTTCACCAATATCTTGCTTTACTATATACCACCAATATACATATATATATATAGAGAGAGAGATATGTATATATGTATACACAACAGAAGTCCCACCTTGTTCCTTTACATATTCTCACGGCTTCTCAGAATTCTTCCATTCTTCTTTTTCATTTTTATAATAACAACAATAATAATATAAGGCAGGGGGGCAACTCCTTGAGGTGGCAGAAGGCAGGGGGGCAACTCCTTGAGGTGGGGGGATCGAATCCTCCTGCCGCTCCTTCTTCCATCTGACCTGCTCGTCTGCCAGCCTGTCATAACGGGCTGATTTACATCCCACGCGTGTGTCGCAGGCTCGTGCGTCGTGGGCTTGGGGTTTGACCCGCAGGCGCCTAAGCCCAACTACGGCCCGAGCGTTAGGCGCGCCTGGTGGCCAGGTCCGGCGGACTGAGGTCCATGGGGACTGTTAGGCGCAGGTGGTGGCCAGTTCGTCTCCGTTTGTAAGGGTAGGTAGTCACGGGGGTTCCCCAATGTTATAAAAAAAAAAAAAATAAAAAAAATAAAAAAAAAAAATAATAATAATAATAACCCAACAAAGTTGCATATTCATTGTAGCCACCGACCTCCATTTCTTTAATCTACGAGTATTAGATACGTGACCAAAGTGAAAGGTTATAGTCAATACCATGTGTGTATATATATATATATATAACAGATGCAACAGTTAGAAATAATGGTGACTAAAAGTAAAACCGGATTCGTAATTTACATTGGTTCACACTTTCCATTGCCATATGGGACAAATTTGATAGTAAACCGCACTAGTAACTGACGTAAACTCCTTCTAGAATCGAGAGAGAGAGAGAGCGCTTCATTGTTACATAGTCTCTGAACACACACAGAGGGAAAGGCAAAACTTTACGGAAGCATATATAATGAAGGGGACTGTGCTGTACTCGTAGTGGCCAACATTGAGATCTCTCCCTCTCTCTCTCTCTCTCTCTCTCTCTCTCTCTCTCTCTCTCTCTCTCTCTCTCTCTCTCTGTTGATGACCCTTTAAGATCGCCGGTCTCTACGCCACTTTGCCTGAAGATTAAGGCGAAAAACATCATTTAGAATTTACCAACTAAAGATGATTCATTGGTTGATAGTAAAGACGAAATTGTTTAATAGCCTTTCATCTTTTACTATACAACACAAACATAATTCACGTGTACTTTTAGAATTACAAAGAGTATTGATTTATCTTATTATCGATCAATGAATCACCGTTAGTGATATATATACATATATATATATATATTATATGTATATATTACCATGAGAAAAAGAGTGATGAGTGGACGATGTAAAAAAAGATTGAAAAGGAAAAATGGGAGTGGGGGAAAGGTAGGGCAAAAGGAGGATAGAAATTTCCGAAGAAAGAATGATGGGTGAGATAGAAAGTCAACGGAGTTTCAACGATAAGGAAAAAAAAATCTCAACCAAACAGAACCGACCACATTTGTCACCCACCAACTATGTCGTCTGTAGACCAAACCAAACCCTCTTTCTAAGACTGCTACCTTTGCTTTCTTTTATCCATTTTTTTATTCATATATATATATATATATATAAAGATAAAAAAAAGTGTAAGTCCACCCACAAGAGGGAGAGGATGAGAGGATGTACCATATTGAGACAATGCTCTTTTCTCTCATGAAACATGATGGATGCTTGATTTGATTCCTTACTAAACTACTTCCTTTGGATTGTATCTATGTGTTTGGTTCACCTTGTTTTGCTTTTTTTTTTTTTTAATTTCATATCTCCATATATTTTTTTTGATACTGGAGAACCTGCCCTACAACCCTTCAGATCGGACACCGGACACCGTAACGTCTCACAGTCCAATGGGCCGGACGAGGACGACATCAGGACGACATCGCGGACCAAGGAAAATCCCAAGCCCACGCGCACGAGCCTGCAATACACACGCGGGAGGTAAATCAGCCGTAACTGACAGGCGACAGGTGAGAGTCTAAGGAGGCGGTAGGGATCGAACCCCAGACCTCATGGTTTCTCACCATGCCCCTTAACCATCTCACTTGGGGGTTTTCCCGTATCTCCATATTCCATCTATTATTTGCTCTTAATTCATTTTCACGCTAATTTATTTGTTTTCGAGAGGATGTTCGATTTGATTTCGTTTTGGATGTTTTGTATTTTGACTTAACCGAGTTGGAAAAAAAGTTTCTGACTTAACATCCGGTTCGATTATCTCGGTTATGATCTTATTTCGGTCGGTTTTTTAATCTGGTTCGGATAAAATCGATTGGTTTCGGTTCTTGTCAACGTGACTTGAGAGTTGAATAGATAGTATTGGCCCAATTTGAGCCAGGCCTTATTGGGTCCAATAGCCCTTGTTATTTGGGCCTATTACGGCCCGATAGCTTTAACTCCCGCAAATTAATAATGGGCCCACTAATTGGTTGCAGGCCCAATGAGGTGGCCTTTATGAGCTGGATGTGGGACCCACTCGATGAGCTGTAAAAAAAATGAATGGGTGAGGCTGTGATGATGAAGAAGGGATAAAAGCCTGGGGAGACAACTCTGCCTTTTGGCTTTCCTTCTTTTTCCCTCTGTTTCCATTTCAATGATGCATGCTACACTGCTGTAAATCTCAACTTTTTTTTTCCCTCATTAAATCGAATTAAGAACAAAATAGAAAGGAGCTCTTAATGAATGATTTTGACACTTTTAAAATACATTTTGTGAAAATATTATATAGTGGACAGAATTAATTATCGTTTTTTTAAATAGAATAAAAATGTATCCCGAGTTTATGTTATTTTAAAACAATTAGGCACTTGAATTTCTTTTGGGGCTCACCTCATGAAATTAAAAAAAAAAATCAGGAGACAATATCTCGACAAAATCTTTGATTTTTTTTTATTACAAGTGACCGTACATAATTATCATTGAGATTTGTGAAAAAAAAAATAAAAGTGGATAAATAATTCATGAGTGCGACTGCGTCTTTTTGTTTCTCCCTCACTTTTCCTTGAATCCACTTCCCTCGTCTCTCTCTCCGATCTCAACCACTACTCTGCTTCCATATCCTAAATTCACTACTTCACCAAAAATTATCTGGGTTTGTTTCTGTGATCACAAAGCCGAAGGACAATGGAGGACACGACGTTCACGAAGGTGTTCGTGGGAGGATTGGCGTGGGAAACCCACAAACACTCTCTGAGGAATTACTTCGAACAGTTTGGCGACATTTTGGAGGCTGTTGTCATCACCGACAAAACCACCGGCAGATCCAAAGGATATGGCTTTGTAAACCTTCCATTTTCTTCTTCTCCGTTGTCTTCTTCTTCGTTTGGTGGCTCAGAGATTTAGCTTCTTTATGCTTTATGGATCTGAATAATGGTTTTTATTTTTGCAGGTGACTTTTCGTGAAGCTGAAGCTGCCCAGAAGGCGTGCGTAGATCCATCTCCCGTCATTGACGGAAGAAGGGCCAATTGCAATCTCGCTGCTTTTGGTGTTCAGAGATCCAAACCCTCTTCTCCGAATCATGGTACTTTGCTTGACTTCTATCTAGTGATTCTTCATCGTATTGGATCTGGGCGGAAAAACATACCCTCAGTATGGAGACAGGAATGTTTCTCCAGATCTAACTATCGTTTATGAAAAAAATGCTGAAAGATGATTGACGCGGGAAAAAAACTATAATTTTGTTGAAAGATGAATCAAATATCGTCGGTTAATAGCGAGTTTAGGGTTCTTAAAAAATTTTATGGTTAAATTTGATGTTAGATATGTCAAAATAGAAGAAAGTTGAATCAAATATCATAAATGAAAGCCATGTGGGGTGTGTACACATACACATCCTTGGACCTAGTTGGATTAATCCTACTGGTTAGCATTTTTCTTTCCCTTTAATTACTTGGAGTAATCTTTTCTCTCTCAATCTCTCTCTCTAACTCTGCACTAGTTAAACACTAAACACTTGTTAATATCTATTTAATGAGCTTTGTTGATGTCTTGTTACCAATATGTCTTGTCTTAGTTTTGCTGCGACCAAAATGTCTGAGAGGATATTCTATGGTGTGTTTTTCTGGCAGTGCAAGCAGGAGGAAGAGGCATTAAAGTTGCTAGCCCTTTCAAGACTCACTTCGGGGGAACTGCTGCTTTTCATTCCGCTCTTCTTCCTTACTCTAATCTTTTCGGGTACTTTGCCATTCGATATCTTCTCTTTTGCAGAAACTCATCGTACTTTAGTAGTCTGAGAATCTTCCCTCTGGTGTCTTACAACTCTTTTAGGTATTCGTCCTACCCGATGGATTACAACTACCCGACGGTATGTTATCATGCTTTCTTGTTGTGGCTGTCACTGCTAGTGTTGTAGTTACTGAAAGAGAGTTAGTTGATTTGATTGAGATGTTTTGACATCAGAGCTACTACAATGTATATGGAGGGGCAGCTGCTCAGCATCCCATGTATGGCAATGGAACAATGGCTGGCATGGCGGCAACTGCATTCTACCCGTATCTCCAGTTTGCGGAAGGAAATGGACCTGCCACTGGTTATGCCTCTGTCCACTACCCGAATCACCTGTTTCACTACTCTGCTCTTGCTTCATCTCCCGGGAGCAATTACCCGCACCACAATGGTTCACCAGTGTCTCTTGCACCTTCTCCAACCATTCCACCAGGTTTGTACAATCTGTATGTCTGTTGCTCTTTATATGTAACTGGAAAAACCGAGAGATATTGATCTCCTCAGCAGTGTGCTTTGCAGTGCCCCAGGCTTGACCATGAGGACTTGTGTTAAGGCCCACTCAAATTGCTGAGGCATGATGCTTCAGTACCACTTTCATCTGTATGCCTCTGAAGTACCAGTGCACGCCTGTGGCCTAACCATGGTTGCCCCATTCCCCTTGTCTCTAACTCAAAAGGCAAGAGCCCATATTTGGAATTTGGGCATCTTGGCTACTTCCACTTAAGCCTCACATAGGGGTTTAAGCTGGACCATCATCACACGCATTGCTGCTTTTTTTTTTCCTTCTCATTTTGTCATTGCATCATATGCTTCTGGAAGAAGGTTTCTTTCAAGTTTTAGCCCATTCAAGCTGTGTAGGAGTATCAGCTAAGTCAGAAAAAAGATAATTTGGTCTGTGCCCCAAAAGGGCAAGCAGTTTTGTAGAAACCTTAAAGCCTTAGGAATGGCTGATCAACAAGAATAGAAATAAGGATCTCCTTGGGAAAGGCTCAAAGTACTGAACAGCCGCGGAGATTATGAGGCAGGAGGTGCAAAGGTGTAACCTTTTCTGCATTTCATAGCTTTGTAGCATTTAGTCGTGGTAATGGAAGAACTAGGAGCGTGAAAAGATCGTATTTTTATAGTGTTAGCTTAGTAGATAGATACCCGGACATCAAACCGGGCATGGAGAATGACTTCCCTTGAGGCCAGAAGGGAAGGCAAATGTGTTTTTGCTGAACCATGTAAATTCTTGGTGGCTAAGCTTTGGAGTATTAGCTACAGCTGAACTAACTTAGGATAGACAACACACCATATTCAACAACTCCGCTGATGGAATGCGGGGTTATTTGCATATGCATCTGCATCTTTGCCTTTAGGGATATATTTTGGCTCCCTTTGGGTTATTCTCTGACTCAGCCAACTAGTTAACCAACCATGGTTAGGATTCAGGTGAGGGGTACCCTTCATCTCTCTTATCTCTCTTCCCTCTGTGTTATCTCTTATCTTCTCCAAGATGAAAACTCTGCAAGACTCTCTTATGTATTCCCCAGCTTATGAGCTTTCCTTTTGATTCTGATTCCATGTAGAAACAAATGTTCATTCTCCATCCATGGGGCTTGGGGATGAACAAGCGTTTGTCATATATTACTTCTGTCGTTTCTTATTACGTTATCTTCTTGTATAAACTCAAGTTTCTTATTACATTATATTCCCGCATAACCTGTCAGTATAAGATTCAGGATTCATTGCAATCAACACAGAACAAAGAAACAAAGAAGGAGCACAGTGATCTGTCTATGCAGAGACAATAAGCAGTTCTTGAAGCTTTTTAAGTGGAACAAACATTACACACTAAAAGCTTTGTCCTGAGCAAACAGAGGAAGTTCACTTCATTCACATCAACAAGAGCATGTTATCCCAAACGAATATGACAGCTCCATATCTCAGGCTACACACTTCGAGTTATTTGCACGAGGAAAACGAAACTGTACCAATCAATATGATTACCAACCCGTGTTCAAGCTAAAGCAGTTCTTGAAACTTCATTCGTAAAATTGCAGAGTTCATGAACGATCACCTGAGTTATACACAAGCTAAAGTAGACTTAAACCTCGTACCTCACATCACAATTCTTAGTGCAGGAGCCCCTTGAAGAATTGATCACCGACTCGTATGAAAAAGTAGAACTTGGATTTCTCAGTTGTATATATCAACCGTGACAGAGCTGCAGAAGGGAAGAGACCTGTGGATGAATCCATCAGGAACGTATACACTCAATGCCCTGACAAATAGCAAGCCAAATACCGAACAGCGTCAAACAAATAGCAACATCGATGGCAAGAACAATCTGAACTTGTCGACGCCATTTCCTTTCGATATTCTGAGAACCGCCAGATCGTCCCCTTCTCGGAGGGTAATCCTTCTCTAATGACGATGCTGCAGAATTTGCATCAGACCCTTCACTCTTGTTTTCTCTGTCTGTAGATTTTCGGTGTTCCTCTAGCTCAATTCCCCTAAACGAGATCACATGATCTTTCCCTTTCTTCTTCTTCTCTTGCTTGATTGATCTGCCCAAAAGCGGGGCTTTCGTGGAATTAGAACCTTCGCTTTGTTCAGCGGATTCAACAGCCGGTGATGATGAGGAAAGACAAGTGAGGTTAGCCTTTAGATCGCAGGTTGTCTCAGAAACACGCTCCAGTGAGGCTATGAGTTTGCAGACAACAGGAACAAGCTGCTCTTGAAGGGCATTGACAGAACTTATCATCCCGGAGAAGCTTCCTCTGGAATTTCTCTTGGCAGCTTTCTTGAATTCGTCCCTCAGATGTTCCAGAAACTCAAGAACACGAGATCTCCTTAGACCTTCATCAACAATGGCGAAATACACCAACCCATCTTCCATCAGGAAACCAAAAGTCCTCTTTCCAATAGTTTCGAAGTACCATTTGTGAAAAGACGGAGTCTTTTCCAAGCACAAGGCGGCGAGGTTCTTGGCGGTGGTGATGGGGTCTCCGCCATTGTAGGAGTACAGAATCTGGTTGTCTCTCGAGACACAGCAGTAATGAACAGTGTTCTGGGTTGGACCCATGGCAGAGAAAGAAGGTCGGACAAACGAAATTAAAGGTTGGGGATTTTGGAGAATCTAAGCGATCAAGTTGAGGCAAAAGAGGAAAGTGGTGAAGTCTTCGATTAGGGCAACGATAAGAAGAGCAGCTGCGATGAACTTGTCAGCGAAGAAGTCAAAGGCAAGAAGAAAGTACCAACAAAATCCCTCGGCTATGTACTCGAAATCCAGGATGAACTCCCTCATGCCTGTCTTAGGGTTCTTGGGCATGAGCAAAGGTATCAACTTGGATCCCTATCTGTGAAGAAAACGAAAGAAACTCGACCCTAAAGGAAAAGTCAGAATCAGAGGACCAAACCCAAGCTCGTGGTCCCGAAAGCGATACCAAAAGCAAAAGCAGTGAAACCAGACAAGGGTCTATCTACTTCGATGCAGTTGACGAGATAGATTCAGAATTCCAACCTCCGATTTTGTTTTGCCATTTCAAAGATCAAAGCAGTAACCCGAAACAGTGGATACCTCAGATTTTTGCTCATTTGGTTACACGTCCCTCTCTGGACTTCACGCTGTCAGCCTTCAACAACTTCCCCTTTTTATATTCGTTTCACCACTCTTAACTTGGCTCCAACAACGTAAACTCATCTCTTCTGTTCTTTCTTTTTTACCGTGGCCACAACCGATGGTGATGAAACAAGTTCAGATTTTTAGCAGTAGTTTTTGACAATTCTGCCTCCTCTATGATCGATTCATATCATAACATGAAATGGGTTGATCCCAAAAACCGAGGATGCGATTGTGAACATAGTTCCTATCCAAAGCTGCCATTCCCATTCGCTCCTATTAACGTTACAACAACAAAAGTAGCAGACCCTTTACACGAAATTCTCGAAAGGCTAAAGCTTTTAACAATGTCCGGGATTACAACAAGCATCCGAAGTTCCTGTGCTGTCTTGTTCATCCTTGTCCTTTTCTTTCAAGGCCTCTGTATCTCGGCTACACTCAGTCTCATCCCTCACACGTTCTTGGTCGACATTGCTGTGGTTTACTGATTCAGATGGCTGAGGCTCTGGTTGAGCAGAGGCTCTATCAGAATTCTCTGTGTCAGAAACAGGGCCTTCCGTGTGATGGGGCTGGCTCTGGCTGGACTTGGGGACAAGAGAGAGACGGCATAGAGGGCAAGTAGTGTGTGTTGTGAGCCATTGGTCGATACAGTCCATGTGGAATGTGTGCCCACATGCTGGTATTTGTTGAAGCTTGTCATCTGCTTGGTAGTCCCCTAAGCAAACCGAGCATCTGTGAATCACACCAAATCATGTATTGCAGGAGTTTTCACAAGTGGCTCTAGAAAAAACACAAGCTGGATTCAGCTCGATTTGTAGGTATGGACGGTTCTTATGAATGGATCCCGAACTGTTTTTCAAGATACAGATTACATTCTTGGGTGGGCTATACACACCACTGGTTGCAGATCAGTGAATCAATGGCTTTAAGGTTTGAGAATCTGGCAAGCTAGATTTGGAATAGCACTGCTACATTCTCAGGAGTTACATCTTATATGCACCGCCATCCAAAGAGTAGTGCTACTGATTCCTTTGGTCTTAGTCATATCACGTTACCTAACAACTGTTTCAACATTCTGTCACTATCCTTGTTCTTCTGAAGATAAACCCTTAAAATATCTCCCTCTGGGTACCCAAATTCAGTAAAAAGATAAAAAATTTTCCAATCTGGAAACTCACTGTGAATCCGTGACGGAGAAGCTCTCCTTGTAGACGACAATGGGGAGCATCTCTCTCACTTCTTTGCTCAGCCCTAATTCAGCCTGTCCACATTTAATTTAAACCCACGAATCGTCACGGAACAAACCCATAAAAGCTAAAAAAGAAAGAAGATTGATCAAGGAAAAGAACACGTTCTTAAAACCCACGAATCGTCACTGACAGAACCCATAAGAAAAGGCTGGAGATTCAAAGGACAAGAGAGACAACCATGGAGAGAGGGTTGCTGGTGATGAAACTGCTCCGCATTCCGATAGAAGACCAATCCACGCTGCGGCGATGAAGGTAGATGAAGTAAAACAGGAAGAGGATAATGAGTGTGAAGCAGATGGGCACTGAAAAAATGAAAGCTTGGTAGAGTTTCAGCTCCCGAAATGCATCCGGCGAGGTCGTGGCGGTTGTCGGTGAGCAGATATTCTCTGGATTTGGGTTTGGATTGTTGTAAGACATCACCCAGTAATAACAATGTCCCAGAGCCGACAAAAAGCACGACACCAAACCGGTCTCAGTGTCCTTATTCGGTTACTGAGAGAGAGAGAGAGAGATTTGGATCGAGAACTGAAGAGCCCAGATCGCAGATATCGGATTCGATGCAACTATGTTGTGATTTTTGTAGGAATTGAATGAAGAAGAAGAAGAAGAGAGGAGCGGTGGCAGAGTTTCAGGTGAAGCATTCAGCTTTCACTAAACGGCATCTGTCTGTTTCATTCGTTTATCTCTTTGACGCGGAGACGACGAAAATAGAAAAAAAAAAATCAAAATTACAAAATGAGAAGGATTTATATTGGGAATCAATATATAATATAGTCAACAAATTCGAGAGAGAGAAAAATCTGAACTCAAATGGAACTTTACAGAAAAAATATATTGTTCTTGAATTTTTTAAAAGGTTTAGCTGGAGGGATAATCTTCCAATCAATACAATATTAGTGGGACTGAATTTAGTTTTATGTGAGAGTATTCTTAAAAAAAAAAGAAATGGAAAGAAAATAAAAATATATTTCGTGCAGAACGCACAATAATATTAATATTTATCAAAAAACCCAAATTTCCAAAGAAATCAACTATTATACTAAAATAACCGACCCGAAATCGGCTCATATCCGAAATATCATTCGAGTTTCAAATTGGTATGGGCCTATTGGGTTTCGAATTGGGCTTAAAACCAAAAGCCCGAAATCATTTGAGCGGGTCGACCCGAACCCTATATATATTTATCGTCGTATAAAATGCCCCCTTCGTTTTCGTTCTTTCCCTCGCAGTTTCAAATTCCAATCGCCTTTTTTGATTTTGCTCGAAAGGTGATGTCCGCGTCAAGTTCTTGGTTCCTGGTGAGATATGATCCAAAATCTTCAATGAATTGAATCTCTGTCTCTGCTTGGATCGTTTGTGATTACAGGTTGAAGTCAGAGAGAGACATGGAGGAGTATTTGCAGTACGTGAAGACTCTGCGCTCCCAGATGAACGGTATCTAACCGGTTCGCCGCTATAACTTTTGGTCTTCTAAAGAATTGTGCTCTGTGATAGTTTGTGGGATCTGATTTTGGTGTCGACTCCATTGATTTTAGATGTGGAAGATCAGGCGGCGAAGGTCTCGGTTGAGGAGCAGATGCAGATCACCACCATACAAACCTTGGAAAGAGATCTCGATCATGGTTAATTTGCTCTCACTTTCCGTTTAATCGTTCTCAAATTCCATAGTTTTCATTAGAATACTTGGACCATTGCGATAGCTAGGTAGGTTTTAGTCGTCCTTTGGCGTTCTTGGTGGAAATCTGTACTAATGTTTCGCATTCCGTCGATTGTGAGAGTCGTAGTACTACAGTGCTTTTAATTTTGAAATCTGTGTAGCCAGAATTCAGGTTCCGTACGTTTCTATACTAGGACTGCGATACACTCTTTCTTCTCGTTAAATTCCCTAACCTTCCTGTTGTTTTCGGATACTGGTTATGATGCATCAAGTTTGCTTTATGTTTAACTATTCAAATCCTTTTACTATTTGCAAATTCATCATTGAAAACCAGAACAGTAAGTGATGGACATATCTCAAAGTTCAAATCCCTCTTCTACCCAAAGAAGAAAAAACGCAGTCCTCTTCTGGAATATTGGTTTGTCCTGGGATCAGTTTTTGAGAATCTTATTAGTAGCTTTTATTCGAGCCCGACATCTTGGATCCGCAGTTAGACTCAGCTTAAGCTGATTCTTCTGTTCATGCACACTTTTTTCCATAAAAAGCAGAATGTTTGGCATAATAATATAGTATACACTCTGTCGTTTTCTTATTCTTGTATCACTATTTTGAAGCAAGATCTGAATTGAAGAAACTAGAAGATGAAACAGAGCAGATGATGAGGAGAAAGGGTGGAATTTGCTCACAGATACTTGAGAAACAGAGAAAAATATCAAGTATGGAATCTGATTCATCAACCCTTGCACAGGTATCATCCTCTTTTACACTCGAATATATCTGCTGAGGCCTAGCTGAAATTTATACATGAATCTAATAAGTTAAGCTTTTGGTGAAGCATTTCATATAATATGCTGCTCATCCTTGGTACAATATCATCCTTTATTGTAGACTCTAGAGCTCATTCAACAAGAACGACTCAGCATATCTGCCAAACTTGCAGTGAAACGGTATTTCAAAGCGCAATCTGCCGCATCCAGAACTGTTGGGTTAGATTGCAGTCAAGTGATTGTCTCTGATTATTGTTTCAAATGGCAGTTCTGACTACGCAAAGATTGCAGAGGACACTAGGACTAAGCTAGAGGAGCAACAGGTCTGTTATGTGCATCTCTTCATGTGTCCACCCACACCCAACTGCGTTTTTACTTTGTATTGACATGGCTGTCTTTCCTTTTGTTATATTCTGGTCCATAGGGCTGGTTTGTTTCTCATGGAAGTAAAGAGTCCGGTAAACAAGGGCAGGTATGTTCTCTCTTTACCCATACAACTGAGTTTTTCTTTTCCTGGGTACATCATCTTATACTATCTAGTTTTAGCTCAATGAACTGAATGCGTCTTTAGATAATGATACTTGTAACGATTCATGCCATTAAAGCTTAAAATTTTTTTTGTACCTTTTTATTGGATATTGAAACTTCAGCAAGATGAGAGGGGGGAAAAGGTGATGAAACTGTTGGATTCTGCTAAAGCAAAACTGGACGAAACAAGACAGATGAAATCCGACCTTATCCAGGAGAACAACAAGGTTGTAACTTCAGATAACTTTTCTTCATCTTCAAATGTGGTTTGTCCTCTGGTTAGTTTTGAGTTGTTCTTATATTTTCCGAAAATCATCTCGGTAAGGGTTTCCTGTTTCAGTAATTCCTAAAATAGTTCTAAAAACAAATAGTTCTGAAAACAAATAGTTTATTTTTTGCTACAGTTATGTCTTCTCCAGCTCCTCTCATTGCGGCATAATTTTTGTTTCAGATGAGGCTCTTGATCAAAAATCAGCAGAACAAGGCTAACGAGTTTAAGGTAATTACTCTATGCAATCTTTTCCAGCTGCGTTTCCCGCAGGAAGGTAATCGTTAGATCGCATGCTTACATCTAAATGAATCCAGATGGCCTACTGCTTCACTCTAGTCTTTATGATGTTTTACCTGTTTCAGCCATGGTACTTCTGTAAATTTTTTTTACCAATTGCAGCCAGAGTTGTCGTCAATGGATACAAAGATTCTCGAAGAGGAATACACCGCCCTCTCGTCAGATGAATCTGGGGAGACTGAGTATCTGCATTCACTGCGTGGTCAAACTGAGAAGCTGAAGGTAAATTTTGGCAATAGTTTTGATTTAGTTTTCCAACTATATGACCGTGTGGGTTTCATGTGGTGATTTCAGGGAGTTTCTTACATTTCCAAATGCGGATGTGGAGAGGAATACACTGTTAGTGCACATCTTCATTCTTAGAATGCATAACGCAACTAATGATGGGTATGATCCCTTCAGGTACGCATTTGGTTAATTTCACCTGACAGTAATAATCATGAACATGCGGTTATAGTCTTGTTGATCCTGCGTTTTAGTAAATATTCTTTCACAGTCATGAACCCACTATCGTATTCCTTTATTCCAAAAGTGTGTGTCACAAATATTTTTACAGCGGGTAACGTCTTTCAAATGCTAAAGAAGAACCACCACCCATTTTCACAATTTCCACAATCTTTGATTTGCCAGTTAATTGGCCAAAGAGAAGGATTCTATAAAGAAAGCCACTGACAATATCTCTCTCTACCCTCTCTGTAATAATTATTTAATGAGTGAAAAGTTAAATATTGATATATATATATAAAAAATAAATTTAACCAATGTGTTACCCAAAAGATAAAAAAATAAAAAATAAACGCACCAAAGCTCCAATGGAAATCCAATTTTGTCTTACTTTGCACGTTTAATTACCATTCTACCCTCCTGAAACTTTAATTATTTGTTCCGTGTATGTAGCCACCTCTTCTCCTCTTCATCGTCTCTTCTTGCTCTCACTAGGGTTTCAGTTCGCACCGATCAAATCAAAGGCGTAGCTTCCATGTCAGGCAATTCCAACCGCACCGTCTACATCGGTGAGTTTCTATTTGATAAGATTCTCCTCTTTTCTTTTCTTTTCTTTTCTTCTTTCCCCCATTTTTGTCTATTGTTGATGAATCTACGCCGCTCGAATCTTATGAATCTGCTTAATTCCATTATCCTCGTATAATTCGAAATCCCGTATCTGTCCCGGTGAAAACGGGCCTTTTCTTGCATTTTCCGTTTCAGTTTTCTTCCAATTTGATATTGGGAAAATGCATGTAGAGTTTTAACGTTCGAAATGGTGAAACAGGCAACATTGACGAGAGGGTCAGCGACAGGGTGTTGTACGATATCATGATTGAAGCTGGTCGAGTCGTAGATTTACACATCCCTCGGGATAAAGAAACCGATAAGCCCAAAGGCTTCGCGTTCGCCGAGTATGAAACTGAGGAGATCGCCGAATACGCCGTCAAGCTCTTCTCCGGTCTTGTCACTCTCTACAACCGAACTCTCAAGTTCAATGCAAGTCCTTTTTTCTTGTTTTTGGCAATATACTTGCTTGCTTGCCACGATTCTACGAATTCGTGTTGGTAATTATGTTCTGGTGCTGATTTACTTGAGATGTCTCTGAATAGATATCTGGGCAGGACAAGTTTCCGCCAAACTCGCAGTCTGCTGCGATTTCGGGTCACAGGGCAGGGACCAGACCTCATTCTCTGTCCTTGGAAAATACAGAAATGGTTATGGGTATGGCTCCGCATTCAGAGAGGTTCTCTGCTGCCTCTCCTTTGTATCCTCCTCCTCCTCCTATGGATTACTACTCTCAAGGTATGTATGCCTTCTTTTTCTTTGTCCTCTTGATCCGTGTGGATATTTTGATGTGGTAGAAGCTTGCGGGAGATATCAGAGGTTTCATGAGAAATATCCAAATTAGCTGAATCAATAGCTAGTTATAACAATCTTGAGTTGAAGGTTTGTTGAAGAGGTTGAGAAAGGTATCAAAAGTTCGAAGCCAAGATATCTAAATGATCAGCCTTGCACACAAACGCCATTGGAACCTGTTCTTTAGCTGAAATCACACATTAACAAAAGATGAACATCATTTTCCTTTACCCAAAAATATGAACAAAACGATGTCATAAAAGTGTTGCTCATACCACTCCTCTATGTAAGGAAGGGATGGAAGTTCACGTATACATTTCTTTGGCATTTGCAGAACCGCCTCCGCCTGGGGTATCACCTCACTCTAATGGGTATGGGCATTTTCCGAACGGAGAGTACAGCAGGAGGGCTCTTGGTTCAACGCTGGATAGCATCAGTCGGTCCAGTCCGCGCTGGCATTGAACTAATCACTAACATAACGTTTCTTGTCATGGTTGATTACCGGTAATTCACTTCCTGATGATTGGATATAGGAAGGTGTCTGTGTTTTAGTGATGCTTGTGGATAGAAGAAGAGCAAAATGGTAAGTCGGTATTGACACACGGATCCTGAACACGACCAGTGTTGGATCGCACAGCAAGAACTCGTTCGTTAACTCTTGTGTAAAGGCAGAATGTTTTTCAGGTTAATGGTACAAATCATGTCACGAGACATACGATGTTCTCGCAAATGGTGTAAAAGTAATGAAAGGGTGCTTTTTCTACAGAGAGGCCTCTGATTGGTTTTCGACGGTGTGGTTTACGAATAATCTTGGCACCTTAATTAAAGAACCAAGGAATAGGGCTGGGCATTTAAAACCGTTAACGTATTCGAAAAACGGGTAGTCGACATTGAATGAAGAAGATAATGGATATTGTAAGATGAAAACGAAGACGGATATGGATTTTAAGACGGATACCCGCGGATATCTATAAATATATAAAAATGATTAAATATTTTTATATTTTTTAACTTTTTTATTTAAATATTATATTTTAACTTTTAAAAATTAATATATATATTTAAAAAACTTCTATTAATCTATATATATTCAAAGATATATAATTTCTTTTATATTTTAAACATATTTTAAAATTAAATAGTATAATTTTACTAAATATTTAGTTTATATTTATTTAAAAAAATATTTTATATATACGGGTACCCGGATATCCGTCTCTTATATACGGATACTCAGTCAATGGGTACTCGGTGATAATGAGCCTTTGTTTTCACAAAATTCATGAAGACGAAGACGGATATTTCCAAAATCGTGGGTATCCGACCCGTGTTCAGTCCTAGGAAGGAAAACACGGAAAAAGAATATGACGAAAGCTTTGTGGGGAAATAAAATAATTCAGAAAGATGGGCTTCATGAGCTAAACTGCATTTTCAGAAAATAGCAAGTAGTCGGTTGCCATGTGGGTTACATGGCACGTTTTTCGAAAACAAGACAAGCAACGCTCAGACAACTCTACAAGTAAAACGACATACATTTCTAAACAAGAAAAACAGCAGGAAGTTCACTCCGAAACCAATTAAACAACAAGCATTCCAATGGTAGCAAAAACGACATACAGTATGCCTCTGGGTAGTCTAAACAACATGCCTTTCGAATTTAATTGTCACAGCGATTTTTTCTTTTTGCGTAAGAGAACATTTTTCTCCTTTTTCCATAGCGAACATTGTGTCTATAAAATTAATATTAATCTGAAGGATAAGTGGGGAGCTAAATTTGTTTTTTAAATAAAAAGATCAAAATAATCTGAATAGAAATCATACAATGAAAAAAATGATAGCATTCGAGCGACGGAACGAAAGCGCTGTCCACGCGCCGAAATCAGAAAACAACGCTAAAAGGGGGGGATTTCGTGGGTTATAATCCAGGGGAAATGGGCGCGTGATGAAAACGCGCTACCTTTGAGAGTGGGTGTGGATCGTATGGGATCTACTTGTAATTTGTCTTCGGATTGGGTCTTCCGCGTTTCGAATTTAAATCTCTTATTGGGCTTTTATAGGCTTCACTCATCCTTATTCTTTCGGCCTTTTTAATCAATTTGTCTTCGAATTTCGATATGTACCGCTCTTGTCGTAGTTTTCGTATTTTAGCCAAAAATATATAGAAATTGCTCGAAAAAAATTGACTAGCAATTCACAATTTTCCTTTCATTTTTTACCGTTTATTATATTTCTACAAGATCCATGCTGAACGATATTAACATCCAACATAACAATATCAATATATATTTTGGTGATTATCTAATAAAACACAGAGTTGTCAAAGACTTGATTTGAGATAGAAATTCTAGTATGAAATAACGACGTCGTGTTGAAATCAGCAGTAAATACGAAGGCAAAAATGGAAATTCATTAACCTGGGTTGTTAGTCATGTGAGAAAGAGTCAGGGCTTGAATTTGGGTATAAATTCTCGATTTCGAAAAAAATCGTATCGATATCTTGTAAACTGTACACATACATAGTAAAGATCTTTATCTCTCTCACGAGACGTAAGGTTGAACACACTGTTCAACTTGAATTCGTAATTTTTGGGGTTCCTTACTTTTTATATTTTTATTTCTTGTCTTCTTGCGAATCGAGAGAGAGAATGTGAGTGAATTCTAAGATGAAATCCATATTAGTTGAGCAGATTCAAGACTGTTGAGACTATTGAGCTTTCTCGGCGGTGAAGTCCAGATAGTTCATATATATTATATGATTGAAAAAATAATTTTAACCTTGAATAAACCTATGAAAATCCATTACTTTATTTCCCGTCAAGATAATTAAATAACGAAAAAAAAACACGGAAAAAGAATATGGCGAAAGCAATGCGGGAAAATAAAAGAATTTAGAAGAGGGGCTTTATGAGCAAAACTGCATATTTAAAAAACAGCAAGAAGTCAGGCTTCCACGTGAGTGACATAGCACGCTTTTCGAAAACGAGACAAACGACACTCAGTCGACAACTGTAGAATTAAAACGACATGTATTTCTAAACAAGAAAAACAGCACGAAGTGGAGGCCGAAAACAATTAAACAGCATGCATTCCAGTAGTACCAAAAACAGCACACAGTATGACTCTGTATAGTCTAAACAACATGCTTTTCGATCAAATGAAAACCACACGCAATCGATCTATGTATGCATTATCTTACACACGTGTTTGCCGGAAATACAGAAACCATCAAGCCGTTGGTTTTGATATTGTGTTATGAAAACCACACGCAATTGATCTATGTTACAGTCGACAACTGTAGGACAAACGACATGCATTTCTAAACAAGAAAAACAGCACAGGCCGAAAACAAATAAACAGCATGCATTCCAGTAGTACCAAAAACAGCACACAGTATGACTCTGTATAGTCTAAACAACATGCTTTTCGATCATATGAAAACCACACGCAATTGATCTATGTATGCATTATCTTATATACGTGTTTGCCTTCCGGAAATACAGAAACCATCAAGCCGTTGGCTTTGATATTGTGTAATGAAACTGTAGAAAATGGGCATATATTATACAACCATAGGAAATTAAGGCATTCTACTAATTATCCTTACACTATGTTACATCTGTATTAAATAACCCAGTATTTTTCACATATTAATTAAAAAAAAAGGCCAAATACACGTTATAATTGGACCAGCGTCAAAACCAGATATAGTGGAACATGACAAAGCTGATACAGATTCATACCCTGATCTTGAAGGCTTTTGCATATACGAAGCATGGGAATCTGAATTCTGTCCTCTTATTTAGTACATAAACTCAACTACAAACTACAAAGTGAATTCATGTCAGTAAAACTAACACACGAGACAGAGAGAACATTGCAAATATATGCCAATAGCATATGAAAAGAAACAGATATGTTAGCTTATATGAAAATTTAAGCCCATGTTGCTTTGCAAATTTGCAGAATCCACAAGGATATCCAATGCTTTATCAAGTACATTCCAATCCAAAGTATACGATTTTCAAGACCAAATGGCAAGAGAATAAAAGAGGCTGGATCACGGTCAGTACCTGAACTGAAGTTACCAGCAGCTCCTCTTCGCCCGACACCAGTCCAAATACAAAATGTTTAGTATCCGATATCGCTCGGATCCCCCATGAACTCGGCAATTTGTTCGAGCTTAACATCAAGCATCTCATGACTATCTGCATCACGGACAACACCCGTCTCTGTGTCCAAATCCTTCTCTACAAGACTCCCATACACGCCCTTATGTCTCCCAAACAGAACCAACACTGGCCCTCCTCGTCTGGGCAATGCTGTCTCCAGCAACTCCTGATCCACCCCTTGTACCAATTCCCGTGTCTCATCCATCGCTATGTCACATGTCATTGGCCCGACCACATCTACCACTTTCCCCTTCTTCAAATAGAATCTACCACCTTTCAGATTTTTGCTTATTACCCTCACTCTAATATGGCTCCTAAGCCAAGAAATCTTTTGTTTTCTGTCTCTTGTTGGTTCCCTGTCATCTTTTACGACGACTTCTACTTCATTTCGATGCCCCCTCTCAGTATCTCTACTGCGTTTACTGGATTTTCTGTCTTTCTCCTTATGACTAGACTGGTTTTCCTCTCTAATCCTCAAATCCTTCAACTTCTTCAAGCATCTTTCCTCTTCTTTGGTACCTAAAACTGCTATCTCATCAATACCCGCCTTCACTTCCTCTTCACCACCGGAAAGCTTCAAAACAACTGAATCCAATCCCAATTTCTCCACAATCTTACCCTTTAAGCCTATCTCTCTACCTGCAATAATTCTCACCTCTTTACCAACGGAAAACCCATCTACACCATTACTCTCTCTACGCTCGTCAGATTTCCCATTCCCCTCTTTCACTTCTGCCTTTGTCTCCCTAGCCTTAGATATCTTCGGATCAAACCCTAATCCTTCCCTGTTAGCCCACTTCTTGTATTCCTTTACTTTAACATCCTCTTTAGCGTTCTTACCTATTCCCTGACCCGGCTTCCAACCGTACCCAGCAAGCAAAGCGGCTCCGAATCCCTCGACAGGAACATCCTCGTAATCCTCGAATGCCATATCATCAGGGAGCCGGTCCAGATCTTCCCTCAAACTCTTCAGCAAAACTTGCTCCACAGGCTCCGATTTCTTCTCCTCACCCGCTTCACCGTTCGAAACTGGATCATTCTTGCTATTCTGGCGAACATTCAGACCGAAGGAGATCTTGTCGGAGCCCTGGGCATCGTTGGAGAGAGTCTCGACCTCGAATTCGAGGAGGGAACCGGGAGTAGAGGACTGAAGGGGAAGATCTAGGTTCTTCATCTTCTTGTAGGGTCTCCATTCGTTCTCTTTAGGAGGGATCACGTACTTCGGCTTTGATTCCGCTAGGGTTTTCGAAGGGTCGAATTCGGTGAGGAACTCCTTGCGATTGCCGTCGTCTGTGGCCTCCTTATCATTCAAGATCGGAGTAGCTTTGGATTTGGAAGAAGATTTGGAAGGGATTGAGAAGGAGAGCTTCATGGCTATGGCTTCCTTCTCTACGACGAAGAAATTGGAAATTTGAGGAAGGCGTCGACCGGAAGACAAAAAAGAGGGAATACACACATATATATATATATCACACTATCATGGGCCACTTTGTTGAGAAAATGGGCCTCTAATGGGCCTAACACTAACTAAATGGCTTCACATAACCTACCATTCAATGGGCTTTTAAATGGGCCTGTCTTGAAATATGTAGTGAATTTCTGACTTTTCTAAAAAAATGTAGGGTTAGAAAGGGAGACCATTGGATTATGAGTACAATCCAACCAGGTGGATTCAAATTGAATAATACATATATGTATATATACATTTTTTTAAAAGTGAAAAATTCGAATCCGAATCCAGGAAAAATTAAAAAAAAATCTATTAAAACCGAGATTTCATTTTTGAGAATTTTTATTTAAAAAAATTGAATCGAAACTAAGTCTAATAAAACCAAACTAAATCAAATTCAACATAAGAATCGAAATAATTAAATTAAATTCAATATAAAAATTGAATAGAATTAATTATCTACAGCCAAACTCATAAGAAAAAATCTATCCAAACCGAAAGGCAAAATACCCTCCATCTTTTTGAAAAAAAAAAAAGAATTAGATGTGACCCATAATGATATAGAGTGAACAAGTGATTCGACCTTTTACCAATAGTTATTTGAATTTATTCGTCTTTGCAGCATAAAGGAGGGAGAAACACTGTCAAGTAATCACACAACACATTATATGTTGATGACACTACGCACTTAAGCAGTGTCCGAAGAAAATACACATTAGAAGATGCTCCAAAAGACTGTCGGAACTGAAAATGCCTTAACCACCGCTGATCGGAGGTATAAGAGCCAACTCGTCTCTGTCCTTAACAATGGCGGAATCGGTTGTATATTCCTCGTTCAAAGCAAGAACCACGCAGCCACGTATATCTTCCAAGCTCGGATACTTGGCAACGAGCTCGTCCATGCAATTCCGGGCTGTGCTACCCGTTCTCACCTTCATCGTTATATCAGGCACTCCTGCAATCTCACGAGCTCTGGCAAAGAACAAGACTTTGATCTGGACCGATGAACTGCCATCGTCTTCAACCTCTGTACTGTCTTTCTTCGCATGTTCTGTGTAGGCCATCACTGATAGTGAATTTGAAAACGAGGCCCTGAAAATGTAAAAGCGATTCATCCAACTAAAACCCATGTCTTCATCATGAAATGAAATGCGTTTCTATGCTCTGAACATATTTAAACTTCGTTTGGTAGGATGTTCTTCCTCATCTAGTAGCAGATACTAGATATCGACGAGTATTCAATATGGACAGAACACCTTGGGTCACAGATATTGAGAACAGATTGATATATTCAGTCCATAACTACGCTCGATGTTTCGACATGGCCCAAGAAGCTCAGTGTTTGTGCTGTGTTCAGTGGTGGCTACAACCGTGGCTACAAAGTATATGGTAGCACAGTCGAATGAGACACCAAAAAACACAAAAGCAAAGGAAGCAATCTACTATTATATACACATATGGGGCACCTAACAATGAATCAGAGTCTAGTAATCATATTTCTTTTATCATAGATGCTTTTGTTTGATCAGACTATAGCAGGGAGTAAAGGGAAATGCAAACACTAGAGAGTAGAGACACAAACTGAGATTGTTTAGGTGGAAGTTTGGCATAAAGCAAATTCTTGGGAGATCAACTGGACAGGAGGAACATGCCCAGAATGTAATTTCAGCACAAAATGCGTCACAAACAACTTCACTAGCATCCATGTTTCATCAAAATACCAACTTTTCAACGAACCAAAACTGATGGTGGAAAATTCAGAATGTGGATCCTTCACTGTTCCTATCAAATTTTCAAGCGAACCTCAACATGAAATGATTCCGAACTCAACAAGAAAATGAAATGCAGGGAAAAAGTACCAGACTGGGAGAACTTACACAGGAAAGGGGAAAATTCTGTAATTTTAGAGGGTTGTTAAAAAGAAAAAATCAAAATTCAAGAACTTCAGAGCTTATATAATCATGAATTTGTTTCGATCATGCTCAATTTCATCTGATTTCCCCGCCTATCGGGGGTCATCTGAACAAATTTTGACGGAATTTCAAAATTATTCGAATTCGAACAATTCTCGCACAAACCAGCATTAATAGATTTTTCCAAAAAACCCCGGGAAACAAAATCGAGATACTCATGAATGAATTAACTCGATCGAGTACGATCATCTAAAACAACTCGGAGTTATGACCGAAAAAGTTACCTGGAGACAGAAAGCGCCAAGAAAATTGCGAAAAGAGACCGGAAAACCCGAGAGACCGGGGCGAAGAGGGCGTGCCGCCGCCGGTGATGGCAGAGAGAATCCGATTTGCGATTGTGAATCCCTTTGTTCGTCGCGTCTGGTCAATGATGGCGGTTGGTTGAATGTCATCCTCATGACCCACGTCATCCAGATTTGGAATTACTAAACTACCCCTTTGTTGGTTTTTCTTTCGAGGTGATAATAGAATTATAAATCAGAGCCGATTAGGCTGCAATTTTTAAAAGATCTCAATAAATATTATATTTTTGTATAAGGTGCATAATGCTTTTATATTTTGTTTTTCTTGTTTTTTAATTTTTAATTCATTTGTTCTCTTTTCGATTCGTTATTATTATTATTTAGGGTTTCTTTCTATTAAAAAAAAACCATTATTTAGATTTTTCATTTCAAATATATCCAATCGTTTGTCGCATTTAAATAAGATTATTTATTATAGGAATTTAGCACGCGCACATGAATAGTTTATCCAATTAAGTAATTGGGCTGGGCTTGAGTTATTTAATTAGGCCCAACAAAATTACACATTATTTTGGAATTAATGCAAGGTGGATTATTATAATCAAGAGGAGAAAAGGAGAAGGTAAAATAGAATAGAGAAGGAGAAAAAGAAATATCTAGATGATGATATAACAAAATTAAGATTGATTATTTTGGATTTAATTTGTTATAGTCGACTTTCAATTTTTATTCTAAACCTAAAATCTGTTGAAGTTTTTTATTTGTCTATGTTAGATTTATTATCTGGATTTAATGTTAAATTATAAATTATTGTTTCTAAAAGTTATATTATCCAAAACTTTAAGGTCATTCATATTCAAATTCAATTGATTCAATTTAAAACAATCTATATCAAACTAATTCAAAAATTAATTTGAATTCAATAGATTATTATTTGATTCCACTATTCAAAATTACCATACACCTCATGAAAACAAAAACAAAAAACTCATGAGAGGGTCATATCGAGCTAGTTAATGTAATGATGTTAATGGGGGTAAAGCTGGAGAATCCAGTGGGTAGGCAAAATCATGACGATATGAAGCGGGCTCCATGTGCAATTGGATTGGTCAAAGTCGACATGTTTGACTTCCCAGACTCCTTTAAATACCAAACCTTATCACTCTCAGGTATCCCGCATCGAACATTACCATGAACACAGCAACCTCTTCTCTTTCCTTTTTCATCTTCGCCGTCATTCTTCTCCGGCGACTCAGCCCCACCGGAGCTGCCACGTGTCACCCTGACGACGAGTCGGGTCTTCTCGCTTTCAAATCGGGTATTACCCGGGACCCGTCGGGTCTTCTCAAGACATGGACGAAGGGAACAGATTGCTGTAAATGGTTTGGTATCACTTGCCGCTCCGGCGCCCGCGTCAACTCGCTCTCTCTCAGCGGTGAGTTCGACGCCGTTGCTGCCGCCGGATTCTCAGGAACTTTCTCTCCTGCGTTGGCGAAACTCCAGCACTTGGATAGCATCTACTTCTCCTACCTCCGGAATCTCACCGGGAAGTTCCCTGAGTTCCTTTTCCGTTTACCGGCGCTCGATATCGTTTACATCGACCACAATGGACTCTCTGGTTCGATTCCGGCTAACGTCGGCGCGTTGTCTCGGCTCTTTGTCTTCAGTTTTGAAGGAAACCGGTTTACCGGTCCGATCCCGAGTTCGATTTCGAATCTGACTCAGTTGGGTCAGCTCAAACTCGGTGGTAATCGACTCACTGGAAATTTACCTTTAGGGCTCGCGAATCTCAAGTCCCTGTCGTATCTTGCCGTCGACGGGAACCGGCTTTCCGGCAACATCCCCGATTTTTTCAAATCCTTCACCGATCTCAATATTCTCAACCTCTCCAGGAACGCATTTTCCGGGAAAATTCCGCCGTCGATCGCATCGCTTGCGCCAAAACTACGGTATTTGGAGCTCGGCCACAACAATCTCTCGGGAACGATTCCAGAGTATCTGGGGAATTTCAAATCGCTCGACACATTGGATTTATCATGGAATCGATTCACCGGAACCGTGCCGAAGAGCTTCAGCAATCTAACCAAAATCTTCAATCTCGATCTCTCCCACAATCTCTTAATCGATCCGTTTCCCGTCATGAACGTGAAAGGAATCGAATCTCTGGATCTGTCCTACAACCAATTCCATCTGAAATCGATCCCGAAATGGGTGACATCGTCTCCGATCATCTACTCGTTGAAGCTCGCGAAATGCGGGATCAAGATGAGATTCGACGACTGGAAACCGGCGGAAACCTACTTCTATGACTTCATCGATCTGTCAGAGAACGAGATCACCGGCAGTCCCGCGAATTTCCTGAACCAGACAGAGTATCTGAAGGAGTTTCGCGCGTCGGGAAACAAACTCAGTTTCGATCTGGGGAAGATCAAGTTCGCGAAGACGCTGAAAACGTTGGATCTGTCGAGGAACTCGGTGTTCGGAAAGGTGCCGGCGACGGTGGCCGGACTACAGACGCTGAACGTGAGTTATAACCATCTATGCGGAAAATTACCGGCGACCAAGTTCCCGGCGAGCTCGTTCGCCGGAAACGACTGTCTCTGTGGCTCCCCGCTTCCTCCTTGTAAAGCTTGACGGCAAGCATTAGGAAAACTCTGGCGCGAAGAAAAGCTTTTAGCCTTAAATAATTTGAGTTTATTTGGACGATTAGCACTTTAATTAAATAAGATTGTAAGAAAATAAAATAAAATTGTAGGTGTAAGAGGCAAAAATGTTAAACTACCACGCTTCCATACCAAACATTAATTATGGCCCGTCGTTATTTGAATAAATATCCTCGAATTTTATTTGAGATTGTTTTTTTTTTTCTAATCTATACTTTGTTTTCGTATTATTTTTCATATTATTGTTTATATATATCTTATTATGCAGTAGATGGATAACGGATGTTGCGATTCAAATCGAATAATAAATCAAATTATCGAACCAGAATATGGTTAAAAGAAAAAATCCGATTTCTGTAAAATAAGTGTTCATGTAACCACTATCAACGGACACCTGTTGGGCCTCTCATTTTCTTCCCGGCCCATTGGTGGAAAAGTGGAACCCTCGGTTTGAGGGAGAGAGTTTCCGAAACTACGCACGTATTCATTTTGATGCACGACGTTCGAGAAAGAAAGAGAATTAATCCCAGCGAATCCAAAACAAAGATTTATATTTGGAGTGAATTAGTTACATAAAATATTATTATTATTATATTTTATGTGAGATGAATGTAAGACATGTCATCATTGATCATGCCCGTGATGGGGGTTTGCAATTATAAGCGCAAATGCAATTGAACAATATCCTGGGAGTCTGGGCCTGGACGCATGTCCCCGCCCCGTTCCATTTCTGCGTGCACATGGCTTGACACTTGGCCTCGTCGCAGGTTTCCCTCTGCATGAGCTCATGGCACATCTCTTGACCCTTCACCACCATCCCTACCATAATATTTATTCATTTTATATATAGAAAATATTATTTAATATTGGAGATTACGTATTATTAATCACAACGATTCATATAATATTATTTTTTTATAAACATTCTTAATTCTGATTTAGTGTTTTTTTTTTCAAAATGGGCTTTAGAGAACCGTACGATTTATTTCTGTATAATATGAAAATTGAAAGCAAACCTGAGAAGATGATGACTACGATGGCGGCGGCGACGAGGGAGAGAGGAAAAGTTTTAGCCATCGTCGAGATATACAGACACGATTAAAAATATAATATTGAATATGTGTGATTATCGTATGATGTTTCTGTCGATCTTATATATACACGTGTGTATGCGTGTATTTATGAATGAATGTTCGCAATGAATTTGCGTATGAAATAATTAAAACAATGCATTGAATTCATTAAATGAAAAATATGGATATTATAATATCCTCTAGAATCACATGTAAATATTATCCGAAAACGTAGATATTAGTATCTTTCGAGGATTTTTTTTTCCTTTCTTTGTATTATACGATCAAAGACCTAATATACGATCATTAAGGTGTTCACCAAAATCGTTAACTTATATAATTAGAAGATGAGTGCATGTACCTGCGAATGATTTTATACCAAAGACATTTTTAAATATTCTTTTTATAACCTATGCTTTCTATAAGCCCGTTAGTTTTGATTATATATTGGATACCAAAAGGCATAAATACCACTCTTGGCATAAAACCACTCTTCTGCATCACTATCGTCATTAAATTTCTATAATTAACAATTTAATCGCATACCATCAATGATTTAACCAACCAAGTCAACCTACTAAGTTGGATTTATATGATGTATATTTTGAATCTTATTTACTATTTCATAAAACGTAATTAGTTTAAAGCATCAGCTACCTTAGAACAAGACAAACACATAATTAGTTGTTAAAGAATGCTAGGCAAAAGGGTGGTCTTTTCGGATTTGGTTCGGTTATATTCGGATTCAATTATTTCGGTTATAGAAAAACTATAACCATTCGATGTTTATATAAATTTTGGTTCGGTTCGGTTCGGAAAAAAATTTGTTTTTTCAATGAAATTGTCGGTTTTTTTGGGTGTTTTTTTCGGTTTTGGTTTTTTCGGGTTTAAAAAAATCATAACCCTTCGGTATTGATGTCGGATTCAATTCGGATATAATTATATATCTTATTCGGTTTAATTCGGTTTGGTTATTCGATTCGAAATGGCCACCTCTATGTTTTTTTGGGCTAAAATTTAATGTCTAATCATTCACACTATCATTTGTTTTCCGTACAACTTGATCTGCATGTATCCGGATAATAAACATTAATTACTATGATTTGAATAATTCGGTACATTCTTAGACACAAAATATGAACGTATCGGGTATGGATCTATATATAATCTTTTTTATTACTCGGTCCATTTATGGTGACGTTTCAACTTTAAATACACATATTAAGAAAAAAAAATATTTTGGACAAATATGTTTTTCAATTACTCTTATTAATGATAGAATATTATCATTAACTAATTTTATTTTGTGTTTATAAATCGAGTAAATGAAGATCTTAATCGTTTTTCATAAAAGTCACCAATTCTGTAAGATTAATTTATTTCAAAATTTTTGCATTTGACCTAAAACAACACAACTACAAACATGAAATGTGTATATATTGGATTAAAATGATAACTAATTTTCTTCGCGACTTCTTATATTATCGATTTAAAATTTTCAATTGAAAACGAAGAGAGAACATTTTTATTTGAGTTAAACACGATTTCAACAAATTCTGATAGCTTTCATGAAGAAAGAGAAGCAAATTCATGCAAGTTTGTTTAACGTGATGATGATCATGATCATGATCTTGGGGTGCAAGGAAAAGTGCAAATGCAATTGAACAGTATTCGGGGAGTCTGGGCCTGGACACACGTCCCTCCCCGTTCCATTTCTGAGCACACATGGCTTGACACTGTCGACGTGTGTAATCTTGTTCCGGTTTGGGTCAAAAAGTCAAATATTGCTTCCCTCTCCCACTCTACAAAATACTCTCTCGTTCATTTAATTTTTATCAGTTTTATTTTTTTAAATGGAAAAACAGAAAAATAAAATACATGAATTCTTCGATTAATTTCTATCAGTGGTATCAGAACCACGATTTTATGTTTTTCCTTTCATAGTTCATGTCGAAATCTATATCAATGAAAGAGTCGTCTGGAAGTGTCATTCGAAGTGTCGATCGAAGTGGCAAAGATATTTAAAATGAAGGTGTTGAGACAACGAAGATAAAGGAAGGAAGCGTGTCTCTTCAATACCCACTCCTGACAAAGACAAATTACACGGTATGGACTATGAAAATAGAAATTTATATGCAGGCACAAGGTGTTTGGGATGCGATCGAGATAGAGGGATCTGTCGATAAGAGCAAAGATAAGATGACTCGTGCAGCAATCTGTCAGGGTATAGGTGAGGAGACCCTGTTACGGATAGGAGTAAAAAGAACGACAAAAGAAACATGAGATGCCTTAAAGATGTTAAATCATGGTGCGAATAAAGTAAAGGATGTCAAAGCACAGTCGCTACGATGGGAGCTCGAAGGACTCAAAATGGAAGAGAGCGAGTCGGTGGATGAATTCACCGGAAGAGTATCAACGATAACTAACAAATTAAAAGCTTTGGGAGAAAGTGTCAACGAAAGGTACGTTGTTAAAAAAAATGCTTAGATCAGTTTCTACGAAATACATCTAATTGGCATCAACTATTTGGGAGTTTGGAGATTTGACGACCAAGTCTATCGAAGAAATTACCGGATCACTTAAGGCGCAAGAGGAACGGTTAAGGGGTCGTGAATCGAGAGCTGATGAACACGTTCTCCTCGCTCAAGGTGACTGGAGAAGAGGTCATTCGTTTGGACGAGGTCGTGGTCGAGGAGGTGAGAAACCAAGGTTTGATATAAATAAGATCATGTGCTATACATGTCATAAATATGGTCATTTTGCCTCTGATTGCAAAACAAGAGAATAGAGAGACGACGCAGCTCATCTGGTCGAAAAGGTTGAAGAGGAGACTACTTTGCTGTAGACAGAGTTCGAAGAACAAGCTTAAGGGGATGAATGTTGACGTGTAATCTTGTTCCGGTTTGGGTCAATTTTATTTTTGTTTTCTATAAAATTGATTTTATTTTTGGTTGTTGAATAATGCTGATTCTTTAGGGTGATCAAAGTTTTTACGTATTTATTGATTTAGTTGAAAAAAGTCATGCTTCTCTCTCTCACTGCACAAAATACTCTCTCGTTCATTTAATTTTTATCAATTTTATTTTTTTAAATGAAAAAACCGAAAAATAAAATGCATGAATTCTTGGATTAATTTCTAATAGACACGTTGCCTCGTCGCAAATTTCTCTCTGCAGAAGCTCATGGCACATTTCTTGAGCCTTCACCATCATCCGTACATATATATTTTTCTTGAGCCTTCACCATCATCCGTACATATATATTTTTTATATATCGACAAATTTACTTCAATATACGAAAGATTTGAAAACAATTACGACAAGACATTGACTTTTTATAATTATATTAAAAAAAATTATTTAACATTGGAGATTACGTGTTATTATTATAAAACAAATATATTTTGATGTAGTGTTTTTCAAAATGGTTTTAGAGAGCTCTATATTTTAGGGTGGGGCATTTCGATTTGATTCCCAAGAATTAAACTATACCGAATCGAAAATTTCGTTGTTTTTTTATGAACGGTACCAATCAAAATTTTCGAACGGTATAGTTTTTTATAGAACCAAATTTTTTAGAATCGAATTAAAACAAACCGAACTTTATAAAATTTCCGAAAAACTAATTTTTAAAAAAAATTAATTTTTTAACAAAAATTGAAACTGAACCGCACCGGTACCAAAACGAATCGAACCGCTAAAATTTTGAATCGAATCCCGAAACGTTCACCTCTAGTACTTTTATTTCAGTATAATATGAAATACAAAATAAACATGTGAAAAGGAGGACGACAATGGCGACGACGAAGGCGAGGTGAAAAGTTTTAGACATCTTCGAGATATATAGATACAACAAATTTTAATATTGAATAGAAGAGAAGATGTATTGAACGCAGGGATATCAATCGGGCCGGTTCCCGAATCTGCACTTGGTGTGAGAATTTCGGGTTCAGATTGATCCGTTTTTCTCGAATCTATATAACTAAATCCGAAGTCCCACTACAAAAAAAATGGTCATTTCCAACGGGCAAATCCGTTGGAAATGACCAAATTTCCGTTGGAAATTAACGTTTCCAACGGATTTCCAACGGATAAATCCGTTGGAATTTCGTCGTTAGAAAACGGTGTCCGTTGGAAAACCGTTGGAATTTTCAACGGAATTTCAACGAATTTTTCCGTTGGAATTTTCCAACGGATTTCCAACCGCAATCCGTTGGAATTTTCCAACGGATTTATCGGTTGGAATTTTCCAACCGAATTTCCAACCGATATCCGTTGGAACATTCCAACAAAAAATTCAAAATATATTCTCGATCCCGACCCCGGCCCCGACATCTATCCCGATACCGATCCCGATCCCGATCCCCCGGCCCAACTCCGACCCCGACATCTATCCCGATCCCGATCCCCCAGCCCCGACCCCGACCCCAACTCCCAGCCCCGACCCCGATCCCCCGGCCCAACTCCGAC